CCCTGACCTCCGGTGCATCCGCCCACGTTCGGCCTCTCAAAGTGTTGGGTTAAGGCGTGAGCCAATCATCCGCCACAGCGGGCCTCTCAAGGTTTTGGAATTACAAGCGTGGAGCCACTGCGCCCAGGCGTGTAGGTAGAAGATGTTGATTGCCCCAGAGTGGCAGGGGGGTGGAGCCTATACCTGTTGTGGACACACTCCTCCCTCTAGGTGTTCTCCCAACTGGGCTGAAGGGAGGTATGTGCCCTTGGGATGATAGAGGCCTGAGGGTCAGGGCCAAGGGCCAAGGAGGTCGGTCCGGATGCTCTTGGAACCTGGGAGGGCCCTTGACTTTTCAAGCCCAGATGGAAGGGGCGAGGGAAGATGATGTCTCATGATTGCCAGCCGGCTTTCTCTTCCTGCGTCGGGACCGGGACAGTCCAGATCAGCTCCTCGACTCCTCCCAACGTCAATGTCTTGACTGAGGACTTCCTTTTTAGTGGGTCTTCCGCTGGGGTCATGAGAATGGGGCAGTGATTCTCTAACTTTAGGACTGGGTGTTCCCCAGCTTTTGGGGATCCGAGGCAGAGTAGACAGTTACCCTTACGCCTGGGTGGGAGGTTCCATAAGGCGTGGTATCCCAGGGAGGTCACCCAGGGGCTGCGTTTTTCTGAAGACTAGAGGCGTTTGTGGAGCCTGGGACTAGAGATTAGATCCAGAGCGAAACGTTCGTCTTCTGATCTCGTTTCAGCGCTGGAAGCCTTCCCAGAGAGCAGCTTCCCAAGGGCTCCAGAGTCTCCGAGAGCCCTCTGGGGGAGAGCCGCCCACGCCCTAGCTTTCTGCACTTCTCTTGCTTTGCTTTGCTTCTTAACATTCGCAACATGTGCTGGCCAGTACGGCTGAGGTTTGTTAATCTTCAGTATCATTGGTTTCTGCTGGCAGTAACTTTCAGGAGGCGAGATTTTGTCTGGTTCACTGCTGTGAGCCCAGCACCCAAAATACTTAATCTGAGTGGAGAATGGCTGCCAGCCACTGGGATTCCAGGGCTGTGGGCCCCCTGCCTAAACATATGGCCCATGGCATGGCGTCAACATGCTGGGTCAGTCCCCAGCTCCTGTTCACCACCCCCCCCCCCGCCCCCCACACCTTCTTTCTGTTCTACCTTTCCTGGCGTGTCGCTTCACACACCTCAGGCTCAGGCTTAGGGCTTGGGGCAAACGGCTGGGAAGGGCGGGGATGTTAGAGTGGGTGGTGGAGAATGAAGATCGGCTCTGGTCCATTGCCTTTCATGCAAAAGTATTTTGTCATCCAATCATGGGCCGCCGGTATTTCAGCAGGTGGCAGGGTCATGCCTGGTAATTCCCCAGGCACTTGGGTGGCCGATGGGTGGATCTTTGAGTCAGGGTCGGAACACAGGCTGGCAACATGGTTGAAACCCTGTCTTACCAAAAATACAAATAGCGGCATGGGTTGGTGGGGACACCTGTAACCCAGTACTCTTAGGAGTTGAGAGGAGGATCGCTTAACCAGGAGGCCAGAGATTGCAGGTGAGCCAAGATCTCGCCATTTTACTCCAGGCCGGCGACACAGGGAGGGCTCCTTCTCAAAACAACAAAAAAATCAGCAGGTGTCAGCACCAGGTATCCAACGACTTTGGGAGGCCGGGGTGGGCTGGATCAAGGTCAGGAGATCGGGAGACCGCCCCTGGCTAAATATGAAACCCATCTCTACAAAAAGTACAAAAACGTAGCGGGCGTGTGGGCACTGTGTTAGTCGCCCAGCTACTCGGGAGGCTGAGGCAGGAGAATGGCGTGAACCTGGGAGGCCGAGCTTGCAGTGAGCTGAGATCGCACCACTCACTCCAGCCTAGGCAACAGCACGAGACTCTGTCTCAAAAAAAAAAAAAAAAAAAATCCATACTTCATTCCAACTTTACAAGATGGGGAAATCGAGGTTCAGGGAAGCATGTAACCTAGATTGTTGTTTAACCAGTATTGGGGGTTAAAGGGGTGACCGTCCGGTCGTGTTCACACCCACTTCATGTAGACCTGTTGGCCCTCTTTCCTTGCCACTACCCATTTCTGGATTCAGACTTCCCCAGAACCTCACCCCTTGCCTGCCCTCAGCTGACTGCTCATTCATTCATTCATTTGCCAAGGGGAGACAGGTGTGGACATGAGTGGCTGGGATGCAGTGCCATAGCAGGCTGGGGGACATGAGAGAACCGATCCAGCACTGCTACCCGGGGCAGGAGTAGAGGATTAGGGAAGGGGACACCGGAGCCACTCCCAAGGGAATGAAGGCTTTCTGAACCTGTTGTGATGGTAAGACCCATACTCCTTACTGAGGCCCCTCATTCCCTGCCTCGTGCAGCTACCCACATCTTTCCTGCCCATGCAGCCACGTGCGGGTCAGAGGTGGACCAGCTCCAGCCTGGGTGACTCCTGGCCCCTGCTTGTGTGTTGCCTCTTCCAGGCAGTCTCCCTAACCCCAAACTGAACTGAGTCCCCTCCCCTGTGTTTCTGCAGCTCCTTGGCTTCCCTGTGTCACACTTTATTGAGAACCTAGCTTCCCTTAGCACACTTCCCGGCTACACGGCTCCTTGAGGGCGGGACTCTGATTTTTTTCTCTCTTACTTCTGGATCTCCTCTGAGCATAAATTCCATGAGAATTATGGAGACACTGTTCTCAGCAGAATCAGAGGAGATGGGGCTGGCCTGATGGGTCCAGCTGCAGGGGTGGGGGGAATGGGGAGGAGGGAAAGAGCCCTGACCATAGTCTCTAAAAGTGGGGCCCTTAGGAGAGCAGCTGTGCTCATCTGTCTGTTTACACCCGCGCTCAGGTCTTGAGGCTGTCTGGGCAGGAAGGCAAGGGGAGAGCTTTCCCACGTGCTCAGTCGCACTCCCCTCCCACTCCTGACCACACCTTTGTCAGGGTCAGGAGCGGAAGAGCAGGAATCCCACTGCCAGGCCACAGTGACCCCAGCTCTCCTCTTCCAGATAGAGCCACGAATCCCCTGAACAAGGAGCTTGACTGGGCCAGCATCAACGGCTTCTGCGAGCAGCTCAACGAGGACTTTGAGGGGTAGGTAGCCGGCCCCGCCTGTTTGCACTGCCCTGCACTCTCCAGAACCCAGTCTCGGGTACAGAGGCCTGAGTGGGTGGACACCCGGTTCTCATTCTGAACATACTCACAAAGTGATGAGGATAAGGTCACTTGGTACTGAATGCTGTTTGGATGTCACTCTCTGGGGTGGGCCTTGCTGGTTCCATGTAACAGGTAAAGAAATCAAGGCTCAGAGGACTCAGGTCTGCCCCCACATCTCACAGGGAGAAAATGCTAGTCCTGAGCTTGGTAAGACCCAGGCCTGCTGGACCCGCAGCCAGTGCTTTGTGGGGAAGGGCCCCCCAGAGGGAGAACTGCGTGTTCCCCAACTGGGAGGAGGCCAGTAGGCCCTTTCCTCAAGGAAGAACCAGAACTTCCTGTGTTAGAATCACCTAGAATGTTGGCCAGGCACAGTGGCTCATGCCTATAGTACCAGCACTTTGGAAGGCCGAGGTGGGCGGATCACCTGAAGTTAGGAGTTTGAGACGAGCCTGGTCAACATGGTGACACCCCGTCTCTACTAAAAATGCAAAAATTAGCTGGACATAGTGGTGCATGCCTGTAATCCCAGCTACTCAGGAGGCTGAGGCAGGAGAATTGATTGAACCCAAGAGACAGAGATTGCAATGAGCCGAGATTGCGCCACTGCCCTCCAGCCTGGGCAGCAGAATGAGATTCTGTCTCAAAAAACAAAACAAAGAATTACCTAGAATACTTGTGAGAAATGTACATTCTTAGCCAGGCATGGTGGCGCACATCTGTAATCTCAGTTACTGGGAAGGCCAAGGCGGGAGGATCCCTTGAGGCTACCCTGGGCAACATAGCAAGACCTCATCTCTTAAAAAATTTTTTAAAAAAGGGCCGGGCGCGGTGGCTCATGCCTGTAATCCCAGCACTTTGGGAGGCCTAGACGGACGGATCACGAGGTCAGGAGATCGAGACCATCCTGGCTAACACGGTGAAACCCTGTTTCTACTAAAAATACAAAAATTAGCCGGGGGCGGTGGCGGTGCCTGTAGTCCCAGCTACATGGGAGGCTGAGGCAGGAGAATGGCAGGAACCCGGGAGGCGGAGCTTGCAGTGAGTGGAGATCGCGCCACTGCACTCCAGCCTGGGCGACAGAGAGAGACTCCGTCTCAAAATAAATAAATAAATAAACAGATAGGCCGGGTGCGTTGGCTCATGCCTATAATCCCAGCACTTTGGGAGGCCAAGGCAGGCGGATTATCTGAGGTTGGGAGTTCAAGACCAGCCTTACCAACATGAAGAAACCCTGTCTCTACTAAAAATACAAAAAAATTAGTCGGGCATGGTGATGCCTGCCTGTAATCCCAGCTACTTGGCAGGCTAAGGCAGGAGAATCACTTGAATTCCGGAGGTAGAGGTTGCAGTGAGCCGAGATCGTGCCATTGCACTTTAGCCTGGGCGATGAAGTGAAACTCCATCTCAAAAAAATAAATAAATAAATAAATAATAAAAAATAAGGCCAGGCGTGGTGGCTCATGCCTATAATCCCAGCACTGTGAGAGGCTGAGGCGGGCGGATCATGAGGCCAAGAGATCGAGACCATCCTGGCCAACACGGTGAAACCCCGTCTCTACTAAAAATACAAAAATTAGCAGAGTGTGGTGGTATGTGCCTGTAGTCTCAGCTACTTGGGAGGCTGAGGCAGGAGAATCATTTGAACCCGGGAAGCCGAGGTTGCAGTGAGTCGAGATTGCACCAGTGCACTCCAGTATGGTGACGGGGTGAGACTCTATCTCAAAAAAATAAATTAAATAAATGCCCATTCTTGGGCTGCCCCCAGACTCGACTCCCCAGTTGGGGGGTTGGGAGTGGACAGTCTTTTTTTTTTTTTTTTTTGAGACAGAGTCTTGCTCTGTTGCCCAGGCTGGAGTGCAGTGGCGCCATCTCGGCTCACTGCAAGCTGTGCCTCCCAGGTTCATGCCGTTCTGCCTCAGCCTCCCGAGCAGCTGGGACTACAGGCACCCGCCACCATGCCTGGCTAATTTTTTTGTATTTTTTAGTAGAGACGAGGTTTCACCGTGTTAGCCAGGATGGTCTCGATCTCCTGACCTCATGATCTGTCCGCCTCGGCCTCCCAAAGTGCTGGGATTACAGGCGTGAGCCACCGTGCCTGGCCGGGAGTGGACATTCTTAGTGGCCTCCCTTGGTGATACTAAAGTTTCGGGACCACAGACAGTGGTATGTGTGTGCTTTGGAGTCATGTTGCTTGGGTATGAGTCCCGTCCCCTCTCTTAGCTGAGCAACCTTGGGTGAGTGGTTGTCTCCGAGAGTCAGTTTCTTCACACTTGAAGGAACTTCCCACGGTGAGATGGGAATGACAGTGCTGCCTGCCTTATGCAGCTTAGGCAGGAAAGTGCATGTGAGCCTCCTCACACGTGACCAGTTCAGCACATGTGAGCTCTTACCGTCGATGGCAATGGGTCTTTTACAGTCTGGTAGATGAATGTCACCACCTCCACCATGAAGCTGCTCTGATTTACCACAACAGAACATCCTTTGCCATCTTGAGTTCCTGGGGAACTGTGTCAGCCCGTCTCTCGTGGCATATTGTACTTGTCTCTATGGCAAGCCAAGCCAAGGACGTGACACGTCAGAGTTCTTAGGCCAGCCCAGGAGCTGAGCTCACACCTTTTGAAGGTCCCCACCTGCACTCTCTGCCTGGCCCCGCCTTGCCACAATCCCAGGCCGTATCTGATCTGGAGGGGGAGCTGGGCCTTTGCATATGCCTGCAGAAACCTTGGAGGGCCGAAGTCTCAGCGGCAGGCTGGAGTGGTGACCCTCCCCTAGGGTGACCAGGGCTCCTCCCGGCGGGCTGGGGTCACGGCCCTCCCCTAGGGTGACCGGGACTCCGTGGCGACTCTGGCTCTGTGTTGTTCCTCCCACCCAGGCCTCCACTCGCCACCCGACTGCTGGCCCACAAGATCCAGTCCCCGCAGGAGTGGGAGGCGATCCAGGCCTTGACGGTGAGAAGGGGAGAGACCACCATCCGTCCCCGGCCATGTGATGACACCAAGGGAGGCCAAGACTGAAGTTCTTGGGGTCCATAAGGCTCTTCAGAGCCCAAGAGAGTTGTGCTAAGATGGCCCAGGATAGAGGTCCGGGCCTGCCCCAAGGGTCCCACCACAGCCAGCAGGCTGGCCTCCCACCCCAGCATCCGTACACATAGGCCTCTTGCTGAGCAAAGGCCCTCTACGGTCATCTGGTCCAGGGGTTCCTTGCTTCAGCTGCACATCGGCTGCCTTTCAAGGAAGCGTATTTAACACATGGAATCAGGGCTCCACCCAGACCTGCCAAGGCCACACTCCTGGAGTATCTGTATCCAGAGATCTGCACGTTTGTAAAGCTAAGGGGTGGCGCTTGGGCTCAGGCCTGAGGTTTCGCATCTGTTCAATAGCAGAGGAGAGAAGGGTGTACGTCTGTGGCCTCCAGCATGGGCCACATACCAACCCACCATAAAGCAAAGCTGATTTTAAGGGGTGGTAGAGAAACAGTTTCTCTTTTTTTTTTTTTTTTTGACGTGGAGTCTCACTCTGTCGCCCAGGCTGGAATGCAGTGGCGCGATTTTGGCTCACTGCAAGCTCCTCCTCCTGGGTTCACGCCTTTCTCCTGCCTCAGCCTCCCCAGTAGCTGGGACTACAGGCGCCCGCCACCTCACCCAGCTAGTTTTTTGTATTTTTATTAGTGGAGACGGGGTTTCACAGTGTTAGCCAGGATGGTCTCGATCTCCTGACCTCGTGATCCACCCGTCTCTGCCTCCCAAAGTGCTGGGATTACAGGTTTAAGCCACCGCGCCCAGCCAACAGTTTCTCTTTTAGTACTTATGTGTTTAATTGGGTGCAGTGGCTTATACCTGTAATTTCAGCACTTTGGGAGGCAAAGGCAGGAGGCTTGCCTGAGGCAAGGAGTTCAAAGCTACAGTGAGTTATGATTGTGCCACTGTACTCCAGCCTGGACAACAGAGTGAGACCCTGTCTCTAAATAATAATCATTATTGTTATATATTTGTTTTAACATTTTTTCTTGAGTATAACTAGTCCTATGATTTCATAGATATACCTTAGGATGAGGCCAAGGTAGATGTTGCTCATATAAGGTTTTTTTAAAAAAGGAAAAATAGGCCAGGCACAGTGGCTCATGCCTGTAATACCAGCACTTTGGGAGGCCGAGGCGGGCGGATCACCTGAGGTCGGGAGTTCGAGATCAGCCTGACCAACATGGAGAAACCCTGTGTCTACTAAAAATACAAAATTAGCCAGGAGTGGTGGCGGGTGCCTATAATCTCAACCACTCGGGAGGCTGAGGCAGGAGAATCACTTGAACTCAGGAGGCAGATGTTACAGTGAGCCAAGATCATGCCAGTGCATTCCAGCCTGGACAACAAGAGTAAAACTCTGTCTCAAAAAAAAAAAGGAAAAATAGTAAGAAAATAATGTACAGTTGGTACTCAGATGTGGGGCCTAAGCTATGAACGGGACTAGAGCATCGCTACAGGTTGGGCATTGCTGGGCACTGCAGGTCACCTGACCCTATCTCCCAAGGGGGTGATGATCAATCCCAGAGGCCGCTGTGACTCAGAATCTTCCATCCTCACAAGCCGTTCCCTCCCTTCTGAATGCCCACCCATGGGCTTCTGGCCCCTGGCCAAGGCATGGGAGGGAGGCCGTGGCCTCTGATGCTCCTGGGCGTCCCCTCCCATCCCCCATCCCTGCACAGGTGCTGGAAACATGCATGAAGAGCTGCGGCAAGCGGTTCCACGACGAAGTGGGCAAGTTCCGCTTTCTCAACGAGCTCATCAAGGTTGTGTCTCCCAAGGTTGGTGCCCCCAGCCCAAACTCAGACCTGCCCTATCAGATGTGGGGAGAGGAAAGGGGACCTTCAGACTGTGGAGCGACTTTTCCAGGGAGCTTCCTGCTGGGGTGTCACCTCAGCCCCCCATTAGAACTCAGACATAGGACAAACACAGATCCCTTCTCACAGTCCCCTCATACCTGATTCTGGGACAGCCTGGGATCTCAGAGGAGTGTTTCCAGGCTGGCCAGAGGCGGGGCAGCCATGGAACTGCCCGGTGCTTAGGGAGAAATGATCCCAGGGAATATGTACAGCCGACAGATGGCTGTATGTGTCAGCGATCTCTGGCCTGAAATCACTCCCTGTGGACTTGGCCATAGCACCCTACCTGGTCTCTGGCAGGTTTCCCTGTCCCCACCACACAAGAGCACCCTCCCTGGACCTCAGCATCCAAGGCCACAGCCCTGAGTGATGGAGCCTGCTGGCTCCAGATGGGCCATCATCCCCAGCTCAGCCCAAGGAATCTTCCCACAGACCGTGAACATTTCTTTTTTTTAAAGTTTCTTGGAGATAGTCTTCCTTTGTCACCCAGGCTGGAGTGCAGTGGCACGGTCTCTGCTCACCATAACCTCCGCCTCCTGGGTTCAAGCAATTCTCCTGCCTCAGCCTCCCAAGTAGCTGGGATTACAGGCGCACGCCACCATGCCCTGCTAATTTTTTATATTTTTAGTAGAGATGGGGTTTCACCATGTTGGCCAGGCTGGTCTAGAACTCCGGACCCCGTGATCCGCCTGCCATGGCCTCCCAAAGTGCTGGAACTACAGGCATGAGCCACCATGCCCGGCCTACCTACCAGAAACTTTTTTTTTTTTGGACAAGGAGTTTCACTCTTGTCACCCAGGCTAGAGTGTAATGGCACGATTTCAGCTCACTGCATCCTCCACCTCCCGGATTTGAGCTGTTCTCCTGCCTCATCCTCCCGAGTAGCTGCAATTATAGGCGCCCACCACCACGCCCAGCTAATTTTGTATTTTCAGTAGAGGCAGGGTTTCACCGTATTGGTCAGCTGGTCTTGAACTCCTGACCTCATGATCCACCCGCGTTGGCCTCCCACAGTGTTGGGATTACAGACGTGAGCCACCGCCTCTGGCCTACTGTGAACATTTCTTAAGCTGTTTGAGTGACAGCCCACCCCCTTGGCCCTTCTTTGCTCAGACCCATCCTTTGACCAGAGCTACTGAATGACCCATATGGCCTCCCATTCTCCTCCCAAGAGGGGACTCTGGTGTGAGAGCCACTTTCCCCAGCCCAGTTTGCTGGTAGGAAATGGGGAGTAGGCCCAGGGCCTCCCAGTTCCACCCTCACCCCTCCCTGGGCAGCCTGGAGGCCTCTGGCTCCTCCTTCCTGGGATGTCAAGGCTAAGTCCCCAGAGCCAACCATGAGCAGGCCTGTCCCTCATGTCAGTTCTGCATCCTCACCATGGTGCCACCCAGCAGGTGGGGAAACAGACACTGAGGGCTGACCCAGCTAATAAGTGGCAGGGGTAGTAGGTGAACTCAGTCTACCCCAGGCTGGTTGGGTGGGGCTGTGAGGACCCTGTAGGCCAGAGGGCTTCCCGGGGAGTCCTGGGGAGGCAGTAGGGTGTGGACAGGGCTTGAGGCTGAAGTGAGTGGGGCCGGGCAGTATCAAAGGCCTCCCTACTGTGTCCCTGAAGTATCTGGGCTCTCGGACATCGGAGAAGGTGAAAAACAAGATCTTGGAGCTCCTCTACAGCTGGACAGTGGGCCTGCCCGAGGAAGTGAAAATCGCAGAGGCCTACCAGATGCTAAAGAAGCAGGGTGAGGCACACAGAGGGTGGAGGGGTGACCAGGGCCTGCCCTCCCCTCCCCAACCATGAGCTGGGGCTCCAGCAGCTTCAGGGGCTTCTGAGCCAGCAAGGTCATGGGTCTGTCCTTTAACTCCTGGAGAACATACAGCTAGTGTGGCCTTCTGTGCTCTGCCTGAGGCTAGCTTGGGTGGAAAGAAGGTGAGTTCGAATCAAGCTTCCCCTCAAAGAGTGGTCTCCAGGGAGTAGCCTCAAAATATGGGTCCCCAAACCATCTCCCCCAGGCAATTTTGATGGAGTAGGTAGGAGCAGACCTAGGCCACCAAGAGTCCAGAGCCAGCGTGCTGGCAACAGACTGACCTCCCTCTTCTGTCCTGCCCTTGCCTGCCCCCGTCCCCATGTCACCCCTACCCCTGGGCCTGGGACATATTGACAGCCTTTCTGAAACTCATCTAATCCAGGAATTGTGAAGTCCGACCCCAAGCTTCCAGATGACACTACCTTTCCCCTTCCTCCTCCACGGCCCAAGAATGTGATCTTTGAAGATGAGGAGAAATCCAAGGTGAGACTCCAAGGAGGCACACTGGGGACTCCAAGCCCAGGTTGGGGTCCGTGGGTTCTGGCCCCTAGCTGCTCTGGCATCAGCTGTTGGAACAGAGGCACACACTGAGCCCAGGCATTGTTGTGGATGATGGGTGCTGTTTACTGGGCACTTGATGTGTGCTGAGTGTGTCCCATACAGCATCCCCACGTTTAATAAATAGGAGTGTGTCTAGTGTCCCTGGAGTTTGTTTGAGGGCATTTCATAGGTTGATCAGGAGTTTACATATCTCTACGTATTTTGACCTTTTCAATAAGAATTTTACTAATTTTTTGTTAATGTTAATAAAATTAAAACTTGTGGGTTTAAAATTAAACAGCCCAGGAGGAGGTAAGATTAAAATAAAGAGGTTAAAGTTAAAGCTCCCCTCTCCCTAGTCTCAGCCCTAGCGCTGGAGGGTATCTACTGCTAAGGCTCTCGTACATTGTCCCAGAAAGGTTCTCAGCCATGGGGATATAAGGAGCAGCATTTGTTGATTACTTATTTCTGCCAGGCGCTGTGATGTGCACCTTACACGCAGTGTCTCCACTGGCCTGTGGCCACCCTATCAGATGTCAATAAATTCTCACCATTTCACAGAGAGCTTAAGTAACTTATTCATGTCCCACAGGCAGGAAGCGGGGAGCCATCATGTGACTCCAGTCTTCTGACCCCTGGCCCAGGTGTTGCCCTCACGGTCACATCCCTCTGTCTCTGCAGATGCTGGCCCGCCTGCTGAAGAGCTCCCATCCCGAAGACCTCCGCGCAGCCAATAAGCTCATCAAAGAGATGGTGCAGGAGGTAGCAGCTGAGCCTAGAGCACAGGGAGGAGGGGGGATGGGGGTATTGAGCTGGGCCACCGAGATGGGACTGTATGTGTCTTCACGTGGAAGGAGCCCTGCAGTGACCCAGGGCTGGCACAGCAGAGAAGCTGATGGCTGGGCGACCAGGGTGTGCAGGGAAGGATTCCTGGCAGCCTGGGTGACTTGCTCTGGATGGGCCTTTGGGAGGCTGGCTACCTCTTTGTCAAAAGTTAGAAACGAATTAGGCCTTAGTGTATTTTTAAAAATACATAAATATATGTAAGTATGTATATGTGTACGTATATGAGGAGATTTTTGAGACAGGGACTCACTCTTTTACCCAGGCGGGAGCACAGTGGCATGATCATGGCTCATTGCAGCCTCAACCTCCTGGGCTCAAGCAGTCCTCCTACCTCAGCCTCCCAGGCCTCTGGCACTAAATACATGTGCCACCACACCTGTATAATTTTTGTATTTTCTTTTTTGTGGAGAAGGGGTTTTGCCATGTTGCCCAGGCTGGTCTGGAACTCCTGGGCTCGAGCAATCTGCCTGCCTTGGCCTCCCAAAGTGCTGGGATTACAGGCATGGCCAAATGTTTAATTTTTAAGTAAATATACATATGTTGCCTGGGTGCGTGCTGAAACTTTTTTTTTTAATTGAGACAGGATCTCATTCTGGAGTGCAGTGGCACGATCATGGCTCACTGCAGCCTTGACCTCCTGGGCTCAAGCCATCCTCCCACCTCAACCTCCCGAGTAGCTGGGACCAAAGGCACATGCTCCAACACCCAGCTAATTTTATTTTTTGTAGAGACAGCGTCTCCCTTTGTTGCCCAAGCTAGTCTCGAACTCCTGGACTCAATGTCCCTCCCATCTCAGACTCCCAAAGTGCTGAACAAAAAGTTTCAAAACTGGATATGGTGGCTCATGTCTGTAATCCCAGCACTTTGGAGGCCAAGGTGGGAGGATGGCATGAGGCCACCTTTCACTCTGCAAAGGAGGGGCACGCACAGTAAGCAAAGGGGAAGGGGAAAGCCAGGCCACTCCCGACAGCAGCCTTTAAAGGCACGGGCTCCCCCATCTGCCAGGCACCAACACTGGAAGGGTCTTCGTGCTCGTTTCTAGGCTGTACCTGATGACCACAGAGGTCCCCTTCCACTGTAAAGTACAGGAACCTCCTTTGAAAGGGCAAACACAAGGAGGGCAAGAGTCACTGAGAACCACAGTGGAGGTGTAGGGCCCTGGGCCTTCAGAAGCACCTGGTGAGGGGCTTGGAAACCCAGGTTCCTGGGCCATCTTGGGAGATCCTGATGAGCTTGTGCAGAGGCCTGGACACTGGGGGCTTCTTGGACCACACTGCCCTTCCTGGGCATGAGGGGCTTCTGGCAGGGCCTGCTGGAGCCCCACCCGGAGTCTGATCCCACAGTCACCCAGCTGTCAACCCGGATCCCAGCACACACTCTCTCAAGTGGCAGGGGGCGGTGTCTTGTCCAGGCCAAAGGTTCTCAGGGGCCCTTGGCCAATGTGTCCCCAGGACCAGAAGCGGATGGAGAAGATCTCGAAGCGGGTGAATGCCATCGAGGAGGTGAACAACAATGTGAAACTGCTCACGGAGATGGTGATGAGCCACAGCCAGGGCGGCGCAGCAGCCGGCAGCAGCGAGGACCTCATGAAGGTGCACCTGCCTCCCCGACTCCCCCACTCCCCGCCCACTCCACAGCCCACGCAGACCCTGACCCGCCCACCCTGCTGCCCTCAGGAACTGTACCAGCGCTGTGAGCGGATGCGGCCCACGCTCTTCCGACTAGCCAGCGACACAGAGGACAATGATGAGGCCTTAGGTGAGCCCGGGGCAAGTGCTGAGGTCAGGTCCCCCACTCTCCATCTCCTGCCCCGACCTCCCCCAGGCCTGTTAAGTATCTGCAGTTGGAAGGAGCCACCACCAGGGGGCCCCCCTTCTCCAGCACCGACCCTGGGTTTTTCCACTCTGAGGACACACAGGAGGGGCCGCCTCGCTGTTGAGAGGCCCTGTGGGCCAGCCCCCTTAACAGGCACCTCATTTACTGCCTGCAGCTGCACAGGAGGCAGAACCATCCCCTTTTCACAACTGGAGCTAAGGGAGGAAAATGACTTGCCCAGATCACAGAGCAGAACCGTGGCAGAGCCGGGGGAGACGGAGGGCCATCTGCCCCTAGACCTTCCTCCCTGGTGAGGGCGAATGGAAGCTAAGAGTGCATCCCACGGTCCTGGGCAATTCCAGACCTGAGCCTGAAGGCTTCTGCCAGGGCCACATACCAGGTTCTTTTCCTTGATCTCTGCCCACGTGTCAACCTAGGCCACTTGGGCTGCGGTCTGGGTACCATCCACTCCCTCGTTAAGCAGGAGCCCCACCCAAAAGGCTCACTGCCCAGATTGCCCCACACCCTGGCACCCGGGCAGGCAGTGTTGCTGAGGGCCTCATTGGTGCCAGGCACTGTTCTAGGCCCTCAGGAATCTGGCACTGACCAAAGTTTGCAAAAGGCCAGGTACGGTGGTTCACACCTGTAATCCCAGCACTTTGGGAGGCCAAGGTGGGAGGATTGCTTTAGGCCAGGAGTTCAAGACCAGCCTGGGCAACATAGACCCAGTCTCTATTTCAAATATATTTGTATTTAAAAAAAAAAAAAAAAAGGTTGACAAAAGCTTCCTTGTGGTAGTTTAGTGAGAGGAGACAGACAATAACCAAGTCCATGAGCACCGACAGTTTGTCACGGTGGTGACATGGAGGAAGGGAAGCAGGGAAGGGATGAGGTAGTGCAGGAGGGGTTTAGGACAGGCCGCCCTGAGGTGAGCCTTGGGTGAAGACCTGAAGGCAATAAGGGATGAAGCTGTGCAGAGATCCGGGGCAGCCAGAGAGCACAGCTGGAGTGGAGGCCTAGAGGCGGGAGCGGGCCCAGTATGTTAAGACAGCCCAAACAGTATGGCAGGGAGCGAATGAAGGGAGGGTGGGAGATGAGACCAGGGAGGTAGCGGAGGGCCGGAGCCTCAGCAGACAAGATGGGCTGTTCCCCTGCCCCAACCCCTTCCCCTCACACACAGGCTGTGATGGATGTGGGGTCCTCGTCTCCTGCCGCCCAGAGGCCCCCACAGTCCTTCAGCCTGGCCTCTCCCCTCCTGCCTGTTCCAGCGGAGATCCTGCAGGCCAATGACAACCTCACCCAGGTGATCAACCTGTATAAGCAGCTGGTGCGGGGTGAGGAGGTCAACGGTGATGCCACAGCCGGCTCCATCCCTGGTGAGAAAGTGGGGCAGAGAGCTGGGAGGGCACCCATCAGGCTGGAGGGGCACAGAGAGTGCAGGGTGGTGTGCTGTTCTCAGAGCTGCTGGAATGACTGCCAGGGTGACCCTGGCCCCTTAAGATGGGAAGGCCCCAGTGAGGGAGCTGGGGGTGAAGTCTGTGCCAAGCCTGCAGCTGTGGGGGAAGAATCTGGATGCTGCGGGGGGAGCTGAGGGTTTGGTGAGGACAGTCAGAAGAAGGCTTTCTTTGACAAATCTGGCACCTGTTGTATAGGGCTGGATGACACCCCCGAGGCTTTATTTATCAGAAAGTGGGAGGGGGTTTAGGAAAGTAAACATTACAGACTCAGTTCTAATAAGGGTAAGATAGGAGCCTTGGGGGGTCACAAAAGGGGTTAGAATTGGTTCTGTTAGGGAGAAGTGGGGATGGAGGTGCCACACGGAAGCAGCCAAGTTTCAGCAGAGCCTTAAGGATGGGTAGCAGTTTGCCCAGTAGAGCTAAGAAGGAAATACATTCTGGACAGAAGTACCAACATATGCCAAAGAGAGGTCCTGTTGAGCAGCTTCCAGGCAGGGGCTGGTGCGGCCAGAGGCAGGAGGCTGGTGATAAAGCGTCAGGGTTAGGTGCTGCTCCCCCGCAACCCGTGGGCTCCAAAAGACACGTGTACACCCAGGACTTGCCAGCCTCTTCTTTCCCACCCCAGGGAGCACCTCAGCCCTGCTGGATCTCTCAGGCCTGGATCTCCCGCCTGCGGGCACCACCTACCCAGCCATGCCCACCCGCCCTGGCGAGCAGGCCAGCCCCGAGCAGCCCAGTGCCTCAGTTTCCCTGCTTGACGACGAGCTCATGTCTCTGGGTGAGGAAGGGGCCAGGCCTGGAGGAGGGCGGGCTCAGCAGCAGATGGGGCATGATCCCAGGGCGCACTCACAGCTAGCGGAACACCAGCACCATGTACCCCAGGTGTCAATCCTGTGGGGCACGTGGATGAGCATTGGGCCCACTTCACAACGGAGGAAACTGAGGCTCGGGGAAGTCAGGAGCTTGTGCGAGGCCACACAGCCAGAGGGTGAGGCTGGCAGCCTCTAAGCCAGCCTCAGATAAGCTAACCAGCATTCAGGCTCTGGCAGCCTGGGGGGAAACCAGGGGATTTCCCTGCAACAGGTTAGAGCCTGGAATTGGGAACTGTCTGGGCAAAAGTTCAGCAGTTTCTTCATCCACCAAGAGGAGAGGGAGGGTTCCACAGCACCCAGAGGCTCCAGAGAAACTAGCCAGAGCATGAGGGACTCGGTGATCCAAGTTGGTCCAGGGCCAGGCCTGCTATCACTCCCAGGCAGGCTCAGGCTCACCCCAGGGAAGCAGCAAAGCGGTCCCAGCTGCCCAAACCACGTTTGGGTTTCAAGCTGCTCTCAGGGCAGCAGCCCTATCCGAGAGCTGAGATCAGAAGAGCCTCCTCCTGAGAGCCACTGAAGGGATGAAGAGCAGAAGTGTAAGGGCCCATCAAAGGAATCCTCAGGGATGTGTTGGAAGCCAAGAGTCAGACTGTGGTCTCCTGAGCCAGTTCTGAAGCAAAAACCAGACCCGAAGGCCTTGAAGAAGTTATGGGGGCCCGGGGTGTCCTAGGCGGGGTCTGCCTGGGTTCCAGGAGTGCTCCCTTAGGTGGTGCCCACTACTGCATTCTGTTGTGTGTTAGGTGGTCCTGTCTTAGGTGACCCTGTGTTAGGTGGCCCTGCCTTAGGTGACCCGGTCTTAGGTGGTCCTGTCTTAGGTGACCCTGTCTTAGGTGGTCCTACCTTAGGTGACCCTGTCTTAGGTGACCCTGTCTTAGGTGGCCCTGTCTTAGGTGACCCTCGCAGTCTCCGCAGGCAGGCACCGTTAATAGCTCCACTGCACGGCGATGAGGAAATGGCAGCATAGAAAGGCATGGTGGAGACTGGGTGCAGGGGCTCACACCTGTCATCCCAGTACTTCGGGAGGCCAAAGCCGGCGGATCACGAGGTCAGGAGATCGAGACCATCCTGGCTAACATGGTGAAACCCCATCTCTACTAAAAATACAAAAAAATACCCGGCGATGGTGCAGGCCACCTGTAGTCCCAGTTACTCCAGAGAGCTGAGGCAGAATGGCGTGCCCAGTGCCAGAGCTTGCAGTGAGCCGAGATCATACCACTGCCCTCTAGCCCTGGGCGACAGAGCGAGACTCCGTCCTCAAAAAAAAAAAAAAGAAGAAGAAAGGCGCGGTGGCTCATGCTTGTAATCCCAGCACTTTGGGAGGCCGAGGCGGAGGGATCACTTGAGGTCAGGAGTTTGAAACTAGCCTGGCCAACATGGTGAAACCCCATCTCTATTAAAAATACAAAATTAGGCCGGGCGTGGTGGCTCAAGTCTGTAATCCCAGCACTTTGGGAGGCCGAGACGGGCAGATCACACGGTCAGGAGATCAAGACCATCCTGGCTAACACAGTGAAAGCCCCGTCTCTACTAAAAAATACAAAAAAATTAGCCAGGCGAGGTGGCAGGTGCCTGTAGTCCCAGCCGCTCGGGAGGCTGAGGCAGGAGAATGGTGTGAACCTGGGAGGCGGAGCTTGCAGTGAGCCCAGATCACGCCACTGCACCCCAGCCTGGGCGACAGACCAAGACTCCATCTCAAAAAAAAAAAAAAAAAAAAATTAGCTGGGCGTGGTGGCACATGCTTGTAATCCCAGCTACTGGAGAGGCTGAGGCAGGAAAATTGCTTGAACTGGGGAGGCGGAGGTTACAGTGAGCTGAGATGGCGCCACTGCACTCCAGCCTGGGTGACAGAGCAAGGCTGCATCTCACCAAAAAACACAAAAAGAAAGGCTGGGTGACTTGTGCAGAAAGGGCTCCAGGACTTGAGCTGGGCCCTGATCCTGAAGCCACACTCTGAGCTGCTGGGCTGCTCTAACTCATTGTTCATAAGCAAGGAAAGGGAAGTGAGGACCCGGAGTGTGGAGGGAGAGCTGAAGGAGAAGGAGAGCTGAGGGGAAAGGAGGCCCAGTTGTGAGCTCCCTTTGTGAACCCAGCAGCCAGCATCCTCCCTGAAGCCGCTTACAAGCCCCATGCAGCTGCCCCCTCTTCATTCAGAGCCAAGGGTGACTGCAGGGAGAAGACCTTTACCCCGTTCTACACAGAACAGGGTAAAGGTCAAGGGACAGGAACGCTCATGCAAGATTTATCTTCTCCTGTGGAGCCAGCCCTGGGCAGCAGCTCCCTGAGGGGCAGTGGGTAGGGAAGTACTGCAGGGCCACCAGCCCCCAGCCAGCAGCTGCAGCAACACCTCCATGGGAGAAGCGAGGTGCGGCCGCACTTCCTGTCCCCGCACTGCACTGGCACAGTCCTCAGCCACCAGCTTCCTTCTGGTTCCCTCTCAGAGGCAAAGCATGGGGACACAGGAGCCAGAAGTGCCAGGGCAACCTGCAGCCTGGGTCTGGGGAATGGAGGAGGCCCTGGGGCCACACAGGGGGCTGGTCCTCACTCTTCTTCACGGCAGGGGTGGGAGACAGGTTCCTGTCCGTCAAGGAGGGTGTTCAGGCAGCCTTAACCTCCCCCGTCACAAGCGCGCCTCCCATCTCAGGCTCCTGAGCAGTTGGGACTACAAGTATGTGCCGCCACGCCCAGTTAATTTATTTTTTGTAGACACAGGGTTTCACCTGTGTTGGCCAGGCTGGTATTGCACTCCTGGCCTCAAGTGATCCACCCACCTCGGCTTCCAAAAATGCTGGGATGACAGGCATGAGCCGCTGCACCCACCTCTTTTTGGTTTTGAGATGGGGGTCTCACTGTATTGCTCAGGCTGGTCTCAAACTTCTGGCCTCGACTAATCCTCCCATCTCAGCCTCTCAAGTAGATGGGACCAGAGGCACTGGCTAATTTTTTTTCCTTTTATTCTTTTTTTTTTTTCTTTTTTTTTTTTTTTGCGAGCCCGAGTTTGCTCTATCACTCAGGCTGGGTGTAGTGGCGTGTCTCCGGCTCATGCAACTTCTGCTCCCAGGATTGTGCCATTCTCTCCTGCCTCAGCCTCCTGCAGTAGAGGCGGCTACAGGCACCTGGCCCCACGCCCCGGCTAAATTGTTTTTTTTTTTTTTTTTCGAGAGCGGAGTCTCGCTCTGTCCGCCACGCTGGAGTGCTAGTGGAGCCGGATCCTCGGCCTCACTGCAAGCTCGCCTCCCGGGCCTTCACGTGCATTCTCATGCCCTCACTCCTGAGTAGCTGGGACCAGGTGCCCGCCACCCTCACCCGGCTTAGTTTTTTTGTATTTTTAGTCGACAGACGGGGTTTTCAGCCATGTTAGCCAGGATGGTCTCCGATTCCTGACCTCTTGATCCGGCCTCGTCCTCAGGCCTCCCAACAAATGTGCTGGTACAGGCTTGAGTCATCGCAGCCCGGCCTTTTTTTTTTTTTTTTTTTCCTTTTTAAGTGGAGACGGGGTTTCACCGTGTTAGCCAGGATGGTCTCAATCTCCTGACCTCATGATCCGCCCGCCTCGCCCTCCCAAAGTGCTGGGATTACAGGTGTGAGCCACCACGCCCGGCTATTTTCCTTTTATTCTTTAGAAGTAGAGTCTCTGTGCTGCCTGGGCTTATCTCAAACCCCAGCTTCGGCTTCCCAAATAGCTGCGATTACAGACATTAGCCACTGCACCTGGCTGGTGTCTCCATTTTACAGCAGAAGCTGTCACCCCCCAAGATCACACAGCCTAGTGGCAGAGTTCTGTTCAAATGCTTGTAGTCAGGCCATGCTCTGTCCGAGTCCAGACTCTGCCACTTTCCAGCTGCGTGTTGTCGGGCAGGTTATTTACCAAGTCTGAGTCCATTTTCTTACCCCTAAAAGAGGGCTGAGAAGCTCACCCCTACCTTTGAAGGTTGTTTGAGGATTAAGCAAGACCAGCATCTGAAGGGCCTGACGCATCTAGAGCATCATCAATGTACTTTATCTCTGGCCTCTTAAGAAATGCATCTAGAAGATACCCAACTGTCACAGCTTCCTGGTACCTTTGCCTTGCCTGTCAGGTAGCACTTCGGTTTGGACCTCACGTTTTCAGGATTTGCTAGAAACAAGATCCCTTATCTTCTCTAGGTCAGATCTGGGGTGAACTTGGCGGACAGTATTCCAGGGCAGGCAGAGGTCAGGCTGGCTGGTGACCTGCTGCCTCCTTCCCATCGGCAGCTAGTTCCAGGGCCATCCACAGGGCCCCCCAGCCCTCCATAGTACCAGTGAGCCTCACTGGCATGTGCCAGGGCCAACAGTGTCTTCAGCGTCACCCCCAGTCCAGCCCTGTCCTCGTATTCTTGGAGACACTGTGGCTTAGCCAGCACGGTGCCTAGCCCACGGTCATGCAGCAGGCGTCCCTCGAGTGGACCAGTGGTGGGCACAGAGCTGCTCTCTGCTTGCCTGGATGCATGAGGAGAGGAACCTCTTCTCCCTGCAGCCCAGCCCTGTTCTCTGCTGCCAGATGACAAGTGAAGATGAAAGTCCTGATGTCTGTTGTCTGTGTGCACAGTAGCTTTGGAGTGGCCTGGCCAGGAAGAGGGGAAGCGTGTGTGGGGTCAGCACAAGGGGCTGCCGGGATCTTGGTTTCTAGTTCTGCTCTGCTGCTGGTTCCCTCTGAGAGTGTGAGTTTCTCCCCTCTGTGCCGAGCGTCAGAAAGGGGCAGGGAGCCCCACGCCAGCACACATGGCCCCTCGGCTGTCTAGCATCTGCAGGGTCAGCCCAGCTCCTTCACCTCTCTCCTGCTTTCCCCTCAGGCCTCAGTGACCCCACACCCCCTTCAGGCCTGAGCCTGGATGGTACCGGATGGAACAGCTTCCAGGTAGGAGGGGACTACAAACTAGCCTGGCCTGTCCCAGTCCCAGGGTCAGGGCAGCTGGGACAAGCAGCCTGGGGAAACTGAAAGGATGGGTGGGCTCTGCTCAAGGGCCCAGGACCAGGGGGTGGCCCAGGGACCTGGAGGCACCAACCCAGGGTAGAGGGCCTCTCCTTACCTCCAGCTGTGTCTTCACCACGTCTCAGCCTTGGGGCTGCAGCCCAGCCTTTGGGATTGGGATTGAGATGGGCACTCCCTCTTCCTTTCCCTTGAGGGTGACGGAGGCCCCTGGAATATAGAACCTCAACCAGACCCAGCCACCCTGCATCATGGACACGGGTGGTCTGGGGTCCTCACCTCTGTGACTGCTTTCCCAGATGTCATTTGCAGGGAGGACACTGAGCCTCAGGGCAGGATCAGGTGATGCTGACACCTCTCTAGACAGCCCCACCCCACCTGCATCCTTTTCCCCACAGTCGTCGGATGCCACTGAGCCCCCAGCCCCTGCTCTGGCCCAGGCCCCCAGTATGGAAAGCAGACCCCCAGCGCAGACATCCCTGCCAGCAAGCAGCGGTCTGGACGACCTAGACCTCCTGGGGAAGACCCTCCTGCAGCAGTCGCTGCCCCCGGAGTCCCAGCAAGTGCGGTGGTGAGGGCCCACCATGGCTGGCATGGGGTGGGGAGCACTTCCTGTTCCCACAAACCAGCAGCTTCTCCTGGGCTTCTCCAGGCCCAGCAGGGAGAGGCTCGTTGCTGTCTTATTCTATAAGCAGCAGATGCCAAGCACTGCACCTGCTTCTGGAAACACAGCAGTGCCCAAGGCAGACCTGGGCCCAGCTCACAGAGCACAGTTTATGAGACCTAGGCCCACTGGCCTGGCCTCCCCTCAGGCTTTCCCAGCGCCCTTGAGAAAGGCCCAGAAGGCCAGCAGAAGGGAGGACACTGGGCTGGAGTGAGCAGGTGGGGTACAGGGGGTAGGGAGAACAAGAGCTGCTCCTTCTAAAGGTAAGAAGACCCAAGGCCAGAGAGACAGCCACGTGTCAGGGACAGAGCCAGGAAGCCTAGCCTTTCCTGTGCCCCTGATCTCTCCATCACCAAAGAATCACTTCTTTTTCTTTTTTTGAGAGGGAGTCTCACCCTGTCCCAGGCTGGAGTGCAGTGGCATGATCTCGGCTCACTGCAACCTCCATCTCCCAAACTCAAGCGATTCTCCTACATCAGCCTCCTGAGTAGCTGGGACCACAGGTGCGCGCTACCACGCCCAGCTAGTTTTTTGTATTTTTTATAGAGACTGGGTTTTGCCATGTTGCCCAGGCTGGTCTCAAACTCCTTAGCTCAAGTGATCTGCCCGCCTCAGCCTCCGAAAGTATTGGAATTACAGGCGTGAGCCACCACGCCTGGCCAAGAATCCCTTCTTAATGCACTGTCCCCCCATTAAGGGAGAAGCAGCAGCCAGCCCCCCGGCTCACACTCCGGGACCTGCAGAATAAGAGCAGCAGCTGCAGCTCCCCCAGCTCCAGCGCCACCAGCCTTCTCCACACCGTGTCCCCAGAGCCCCCCAAGCCTCCGCAGCAGCCCATACCAACCGAGCTCTCACTGGCCAGCATCACTGTGCCCCTGGAGTCCATCAAGCCCAGTGAGTAGGGCTGGGGCAGGCTGGGCTGGGCTGGGGCAGCTTGCTGCCCTGTCAGGAGCTCTGTCTGGGGAAGCTGGTGGGAAAGCGGGGCTCCCCTGGCTCTGCCACTGGCCAACCAGTGGGGAGCTCTGAACAAGGCCCTGCCCTTCCCAGGAGTTAGTTTCCTTATCTGCCCCAGAGTAATCAGAGGACTGCTGTACAAACTCCAGGCTTATACAAGCAAGAAGATCTCTAGGGAATGGACTCTGGGCCTCTCCCTCCCCAGGAAGGCAGGGCTTAGGACACAGAGAGGTTTGGGGTCTCCCCCAAATTACAGAACTGAACCATGATAAAGACCCAGATCCAAGGCTGGGCTTTTCTAGCCCCGGAGCCGTAGCGGGACCATGGCCCAGCCCCAGGCCCCGAGCAGACACATGAGGCCTGGTGGTCCTCAGATTGCCCTCTATGAGCTCCCTGTGACCAAAGACACTACCCCCGCAGTGTCTCCCAGCAGTGGGCAGAGCTGGCCCTTTCACCAGTAGGAGAACCCTGAGCTCAGAGAAGGGGAGTGACTGCCGTGAGGTCACACAGCGTGTGCCTCACCCTCGCCCAGAGTCCCTCACCCCAGCACTCCAGGCAGCAGCCACACAGCATTGGGGGAACCTGGGCTGTGATTCGGCTCTGGGGTGGGTGTCCTGCCTTCACTATCAGACTGGGGGTTCACCTGCCCTCTCTGGGCACCGCTCTGCACCGCTCTGTGTCCCTGGCTGCACTGCCGCCCATGGTCCAGGTAAGGCCCCAAGGGAGGGCTTTGCTCTTGTTGCCAGTACAGCAATCAGCTCCTGAGGTGAGCCAGGTGGGGGCTGGGGGCTGAGCGAATGTGCTCCAGCTCAGCTGTCCCATCTCCCTCCCATCTTCTCCCACAGGCAGCATCCTGCCCGTGACTGTGTATGACCAGCACGGCTTCCGCGTCCTCTTCCATTTTGCCCGTGACCCACTGCCAGGGCGCTCCGACGTGCTGGTGGTGGTAGTTTCCATGCTGAGCACCGCCCCCCAGCCCATCCGCAACATCGTGTTCCAGTCAGCTGTCCCCAAGGTGACAAGCCAAACAGGGCATGCTTCTGTCCTCTCAAGGCAGGGTGACATGGAGCTGGGTGGGGAGCCACCTGTCAGGGGACAGGTCTCCCTCCCTTGTTGCATGTTCAGGGGGTAGAAGGGACCAGAAGGACTGAACCCCAGGACCCACGGAGGGGAGCTGGCAGGCTGGGCCTGGTTCCTCGGAGCAGGGCAAGCAGCCAGGGCTAGCTGTGTCCATCCTGCTGTCTGCCTGCAGGTTATGAAGGTGAAGCTGCAGCCACCCTCCGGCACGGAGCTGCCGGCGTTTAACCCCATAGTCCACCCCTCAGCAATCACCCAAGTCCTGCTGCTTGCCAACCCCCAGAAGGTAAGGGGCCCCAAGGCGGTGCTGCAGGGTGGAGGCGGCAACTTCTCCTCCTCTGACCCCTCTGCCTTTGCCACCTCTTCCCCAGGAGAAGGTTCGCCTCCGCTACAAGCTCACCTTCACCATGGGCGACCAGACCTACAACGAGATGGGGGACGTGGACCAGTTCCCGGCACCCGAAACCTGGGGGAGCCTCTAGAACAAAGAGGGGCTGGGGAGAGGAAGGGGCAGAGGGACCGGTCACTGTCCAGCCTGGAGGGAGGCAGTGGTGGCCAAGGACACCCTTTGTTGCCCATGGCCATTCACCCCCAGGCCTGGTGCTTCTCCCCACACCCTTGTAGCCCTCAAGTGACTCTTCCCCCTCCTGCTCAGCCCTGCCCCTGCTGAGCCAAACCCAGTAGGAGGCTGGGCCTGGGTTTGCGCCACTGGGGTCTCCATCACCGGGACCTGTAGAGGGAGGGGCTGTGTAGCCTTGGAAGAACTTGGGGTCATGGGGAGGAAGCACAGCTGTCGGGGAAGGGCCAGGACCTCAGGCCCAGCCCCAACCCCAGCTGGGGTGGGGTCTTCCCTGCCTGTGTCTTATGCCTTATGGGAAGGCCCAGCCATAACTCGGGGGCCATGCTGGAGCTGGGGACCAGCTCAGGCCTCCTCCATAGGAACCCAGTGACTGGGGGGTGACGCCTACACCCCCAGCTGTTTGCACTCTGGTGTGTGGTTTGACTCTGCTTTTCTTCCGGATTGGCCCTATGGTCACAGCCACAGGGGACCAGGCTAGGGGAACCTCACCTGGCCCCTACTCCTCCTGGGGGTCTCCCTTTGCCATTGGGCCCCCTGAGGGACTGTGGGGGCTCAAGGGTAATGCCCGAGGCCATGGCCCCAGTGAGGGGCTGTGGGCGCCTAGAGTTATCAGTGTGTCTCCTTCATTCATTGGCCTCTGCTGGGGCCTCCTATGGGTGTCTCACGTCTGTCTATCCATCTGTCCGTGGTCAGAAGTGGGGTCAGTGTGTGAGTGAGAGCAGGAGTATTTATGAAAATAAAACGTCGTTTTTCCTGGACCACCTGCTCTCGTGGCCCTTTGGAGGTTGAGGGAGACCGGAGGGGTTGAGTTCGGGGTCCCCAGGGCTGCCCTGTAGACCTCTCCACTTCCATCTTTGGAGGTCAGGCTGTGGGCCCCCTCCCCACCGCCCCCAGGCCCTGCACCGGAAGAGGCCCTGCAAAGGGGCCTGTGGCCAGTGCTGAGTCATTAGAGAGGGCGCTGGGCTGTGGCGGACCAGGACCGTCCCAGCTGGAAGTGGGCGACCGCCAGGGCCTGGCAGGAGCCCCAGCTGCTACAGACACTGAGGGGGAGGCCCCTGGCTGCTCACGACTTCCTCCTGCTGTGCTCAGCCCTCCACACAACCTCGATGCTGCAGCACCCCGGAGGGAAGTCCAAGCCCAGCTTCTCCCTCTCCCCAGTCGTCGCTCCCTTGCCCAGCACCAATCGCAGTTTGTTTCAGAGCCGACCCAGGGACCCTGAGCTGGGCCCCTGCCACTCCCAGCGGCAGCTCTCCCCGACATAGTGCTATCAGAGTTTTCTCCAACCAGGAGGCTGGGGTCCAAGCTTGGGCGTGGCTTCGAGGCCACACAGCTGGGAGAGCCCTCCAGTGAGGGGGCGCAAGTCCAGGCAGATGGGCCCCGTTGTGTGGGAGGCCAGCCCCGCGTGTGGCTCTGCAGGAAAGTGTTCCCTGCTCAGATGAGTCGGGGGAGACTGCCCACGGTTTCTCCTGAACTGACGAGCCCCTACTAGACCCTGGGAAGTCCCTCATTTAAGAAGCCATTTTCACTTCGTCTAATCTAGTGTTTCCCAATCAGAAGTTGGCCGCTGAACCCTTCTCCTTAGATATGGTTGTGACATGCTGGAGAATTGCCCAGCACACCCGTCTCCCAGCCTGTACTCTCCTTAACACTCATCAGCAAGCAAGGGGCCCCTCTCTGCTGGGCCCACACTGGAAGCACAGGCTGAGAGCTCCTCCATGTCCACCTTACTGCTGAGGGGACAAGAGGCATTAGCTGCGCCCTGCGGGAGCCTCCTATCAATCCCTACAGTGGGACTCCCACCCTGGCACAGCCCTCCAGACAGATGTCTGGCCCCTGGAGGCTTCCAGACACCCTGTCCCAGCCACGTGGCCTCCTTCCTGTTCCCCTCCCCTACCCTGCAGGACTCACACTTCTGATGTCTCCTGAAGATAACTCAGGTTGGAAATTGATTCTACCTGAAATGAAACCATATCACCTGCAGCATCCACCTGGGGTGCTGGAGTCCCACCTCCAGCGCAGTCTCATTACTGGCCATGGCAGGGAGGACTACAGGTTGGCGTGGGGAACAGGTGGGACTGTGAGCTGGGAGTCTGGGGGCTGGTTCTGGCTGGGTCACTGGCTTTCTGTGTGATTTTGAGGAAGGTGCTTTCCTTTCTGGAAGAGGGGAGAGGGACTCAATGAGCTATAAGGTCCCTCTGAGGAGTCCTTGGGCAAAGGAGCCAGGCTGTCAGCTTTGGAGGGACCCAGGATGTTGTTCTGGGGATGGGGAGGTGGGGTCCCTTCAGCCTTTGGACCTTCTCCTTTGCCTTATCCTTAACCCAGCCATCCTGTCAGTCATGCCAGTGTTTCCTGAGCAGCCCTTGGGCCAGCCCCCGTCCTAAGAGTTCACAAGCTGGCAAGGACTTGGGAGCTAGTGTGGCACCCTGAGATTGAAGACATGAGGTACCACAGAAGCCCTGCATCTGTCTGAGAGTCTGGGGTGGGTTTAACCAGAGGAGAGGACCCTGGGCTTCCACTTTCCCAAATACCGTGTTGCTGCACAGAGGTCCGGGCCACTACACCCTGCAGTCTCAGGGGCTGGGATGCAGTGCACTGGGGAGGCGTGTGCTCTGTCTCTTGAAGGGTGACCCCCAGTGCTATGCCAAGACCAGTGGGACTTCCCAGATCTCGAAGCCACACTTCCATTTCTGTTGGTTTGGCCGAGGCAGCAGTTAATTTTGGTTTTCAGCAACCGCAGCACACTCTTTGTTTATGGCAGCCAGGAGAAGTGGTAAGGGCCTGGGAGCCTGGGAGCCTGGGAGCCTGCTCCTGCCTAGTCAGTTTTTTTGTTGTTATCATTGTTGTTTTTATGGAGTTTCGCTCTTGTTGCCCAGGCTGGAGTGCAATGGCACAATCTTGGCTCACTGCAACCTCTGCCTCCTGAGTTCAAGCGATTCTCCTGCCTCAGCCTCCCAAGTAGCTGGGATTACAGGCATGCACCACCACATCCTGCTAATTTTGTATTTTTAGTAGAGACAGGGTTTCTCCGTGTTGGTCAGGCTAACTCCTGACCTAAGGTGATCCACCTGCCTTGGCCTCCCAAAGTGCTGGGATTACAGGTGTGAGCCACCGCACCCGGGCCCCAGTCAGTTTTTTGGGGTTTTGTTTGTTTGTTTGAGGCAAGGTCTCTGTCACCCAGGCTGGAGGGCAGTGTTGTAAAAGCAGCTTCCTGCAGCCCTGACCTCCTGGGCTCAGCCAATCCTACCCTCTTAGCCTCCTGAGTAGTTGGGACCACAGGCGCATGCCACCACGCCCGGCTAATATTTTTATTTTTTGTATAAACGGAGTTTTGCCAGGTTGCCCGGGCTGGTCTAGAACTCCTGGGCTCAAGCGATCCACCCGCCTCAGCCTCCCAGTGTTGTGGTGAGCCACTGTGCCTGGTCTGCCTGGTCTCTCGACATACCCCCTCCCCCAGTATCTTTGGGCCTCCCAACCAGGGCACTGGCCTAGCAAGGCAGGCAAGAGGAGCCCCCAGACCTAGTACAACGCTAGACCTGATGCCTGTAGCCTCCCGCATTAAGCCTCTGAACTGCCTTGTGAAATGGGAAGTGAGGCTCAGAGAAGTCACACATTAGGGGCTGAGCCTGGGCCAGCAGTCTTGAAGTGTCTACCAGGATGGAACATTGCCTACCTCCCCTACCTCCCAAGTCCTCCCCCTAGCCTCTGTCGGGCTGTCCTCTGGAGCTGGGCTAAGGGTACACACTCCTCCAGGGCTATCGCGATTAAAATGGAGTCCTCAGGCCTTAGGGCCACCCCAGGACTTCCTGGAAAGTCCTTTGGGCTTGGGGAAGGAGGTGAGGGAGTTTTTAGAGCCCCAGAGATCTCACTATGCCCCAGCTGCTCTGGGTGGAAGTCCACACAGAGGGCAGCACCGCGGGATGCTACAAACAGGCAATTTGTCGAAGTGTCTAAAATAGGATTTTTTTTTTTTTTTTTTTTTTTGAGGCAGAGTCTCGCTCTGTCGCCCAGGCTGGAGTGCAGTGGCGCGATCTCGGCTCACTGCAAGCTCCGCCTCCCAGGTTTCTCCTGCCTCAGCCTCCCGAGTAGCTGGGACTACAGGCGCCCGCCACCACGCCCGGTTAATTTTTTGTATTTTTAGTAGAGACAGGGTTTCACCGTGCTGGCCAGGATGGTCTCGATCTCCTGACCTCGTGATTCGCCCGCCTCGGCCTCCCAAAGTGCAGGGATTACAGGCGTGAGCCACCACGCCCGGCCTAAAATAGGATGTTTTTGCTCCTGCAACCCCTGCTACCGACCCCTGCTACCACCACCACTCAGCTGCTGACCTCCCTGCCCACATCCTGCTCAAGCCTTACCAGCACACGCTACCCAGACTGTCCCAGGCTTTTGCAGACAAATCTGCACAGAGGCTGCCGGGCCCTCAAAGCAACCACAGGGGTTAAGGCGGAGCCAGCATTTCTGGAGCTCCCAAGCGATGCTTCTGGGTCTGGCACAGCAGGAGAGCCCTTGTGGGCTTAGGAGACTGTCGGATCTGCTTCCTAACTTGGCCTCTACCACTTTCCCAGCTGGGGACCTTAGACCAGGTGCCTTGGGTTATTCACCTGTAAAATGGGGACAGTGATAACAGCCTCATGGGAGGATATGCTATAGCCCATGACAAAAAGTCCCATTGTCCCAAGGCAGCTAGACACACACGGGTCGCTGGGGCGGCAGGAATGGGGGTAAGGGGTCTTTGCATTCCTGACTTGGCAAGCTGAATAACGATGGTAACAAGAAACAGCACAAGGCACTTTATAAGCATCTTGCATCTATTAATTCACTTAATCCTTCTATGAGGTAGGTACTATTATTTCCAATTTACTGAGGAGGATGCTGAGGCTCAGAGAGGTGAAGTGTCCCACGTAAGGTCACCCAGCTAGTGAGAGCCAGAGCCTGGCCAGCTAACCTCCTCCACACCCTTAAGCTCTCTCTGTTCCTGCTGCCTGAGCCACTGTGACAGGCACACTGTTGGGCCCCAGAGGATTTAGCAGGAGCCAGCTAAGACCAGCCTGGTAGAGAACCACCCAAGTCAACAGGCCCCTGGATTGGGGAAGGGCCCCATGAGGGGTTGGCTGGGGATCTCTGAGGTCCCCCTTCTGTGTCCGCAGTTTAGAAAGGCCATGATCCCAACACCCACTGATCAAAACTTCTGAGTCCGTAAGTCTCTGATTACAACATCCTTCTAAGGAACAGCCTGTAACTCTAACCCAACCTTTGGGGAGTCCATCCTTCTATGATTCAACATCCAAGTGTGACAAGGGAGGGCCTAAAATCTACCCATCACCCAGCTAAGAGGCACAGCCGTCCCACGCGAATCCAACTCAAAGGCCTAGGGCACCTTTCCTGCCCAGAACGCTTGGGTCTGGCTGGAGGGGAGTCTGGAGACCAGGGCAGGGGTGCGGGGCAAGAGCTCAGTTAGCCTGATAATATGGCTCGGGTAGTTTCCACCACAGCTGCTGCTACAACCCACATGTACTGACCCCTCCCCAGGCCAGAGCTGGGGCTCAGGACTGGGCACATCTAGGAGAGACAGAAGTATAAGCCAAACCTTGCCTTCGAGGACCTTCGGCCAGCTAGAGAACCAGACAAGCCCAGGCCCAGTGTGGTCTGGGCTGGAGGCTTGGCTGGAACAGAGTGGGGGCACCACATAGTCCAGAGACTTCCCGAGAGACAGGAAGGATGGCACCTGAGGTTCCCTTGCCATGCCACCCATAGTCACTGGCCAGCAGTCTTCCTGTTGGGAAAAGGGAGATGGGGGAAGGAACCTTGCCTGACATCTCATCCTGGCCTGACCTTTGATCTTGGAGCCTCCCAACTTCCTACCAGGATTCCACACTCAGGTGGGCTCCCGTCTGGGAGGCTCTGGCCATAGCAGGCAGCTGTTGGGTTCCCTTCTCAGCTCCTCCCACCCCAATGAGGCCTGCCTCATTAGGGAAGAGAGAAGCAGCCAGTGAGTGTGCCAAGCCCAGTGCTGGGCACTAGGAGAATGGAGACGTGTGGGGCCAAGGTCCTACCTCTGAGAGGCGCCCAGTCTGCACCGGCACACAGTAGTGGCTCTAGTCTCAAACTAAACTGAAACTAACAAAGCAAAGTGCAGAGGGTGTGGCAGGACTCTGCGGCACACCCTCCCCTCCTCCCCACCCCTGCGGCTCCTGATGCCACAGCAGTGCAGGGTAAGGAGAGCCTACTGTCTCCCAAAGGCTCTCACATTTTGTATAACCAGCAGTTATGGAGCAACTACTGTATGCCTAACTCTGTGTTGAGGGGAGGGCCAAAGAGAACTACTGAGTTTGGGGGCCGTCAGAGCAGCACCCACATCATTGCCCTACAAGAAGGAAGAGGGACTGAGGCCATTTGCCAGGAGGTATGAGAGGAGATGAGCTTCACAGATGGAGCAAACTGCCGGGAGATGTGGAGAACAGGGTGTCGGGAACTGCTCTGGGAGGGTTCCTGGTGGCTGGGGGGATGGCACACACCTCCCTTAAAAGGAGCAGGCAGGGGTGTCTTGTCCACTCTGCGGGATGGGCAGGCCCAGGACAGCTGGCCCATTAGACCATTAGAGACAAGCGAGTCTGAAGTTCCAGGGACTTGTCCACGGCCACACAGCAGCCCTTGGCCCCAGGAAGCCAAAGCTTCCAGCCAGTCATCGAGTGGTGGGGGGTTTAGTTCCAGGGGGCCAGAGGTCCTCTGCGGGAGGGAGTGCAGGGCAGTATCCCTGCAAGTCCAGAGGGGCCAGGACAGGTCAGAAAGGCCCATCCCTCCTTCGCTTGGCACCCTCTTTCCCCTTTGCGAGGGATGCAAAGGTTATTTATACCCTGGGCGGGCCGGCCGGCTGCGGGTGGGGCAGGCACCCCATCTGGGGCGGGCTGCGGGCGCGGGGGCAGGAACGGGCTTACCTGCTTCCCGCCACCAGGGCTGGGCGGGGCGCTGCGGGGAGGAGGAGCGGGGCACAACCTGTGGACGGCCGCGGCCGGCGGACTCACAGCAGCGGGGGCCCGGTCGGGGGTCGTCGGGGGGCCCGGAAGCCGGGGGAGGGCGAGGAAACCAACTTGGAGAGAGGAGTGACCTGGGGGCTGGGGGCGGAGTCGTGAGCGGGGGAGGAGAGAGCCGGCCGCCAGCGAGAGCCGCGCGGCGGCCCAGGAAGCGAGAGCGCCGCCCACCCATCCGGGGCGAGAGCCGCGCCGCAGGAGAGGCAGGCTGGGCCGGGGGCTGCCCGGGCCCGCGACCCCCGCCGTGACCCCGCAGCCCCCAGCCCGCCCCCAAGATGATGAAGAGGCAGCTGCACCGCATGCGGCAGCTGGCCCAGACGGGCAGCTTGGGACGGTGAGTGTCACCCCCTTCCAGCCCCACTCTTACCCCGGCAGGACCTGAGGGGTCGTAAAAGGGTGGGGGGAGACGGGGATGGGGGAGACTGGGGACAGCTGGGCAGCCACTCTCTGAGCGGCCAGACCCTCTCTTCCTCCCTTCTGAACGCCGCCCCCGTCTCTCGGGCAGAGCTGGAGGAGCAGGGGTGGCTTTTGCGGGAAGGGATGCCCCCTCTTACTGGATTGGAGGGGGCTTCAGGCGGGAGAATGCTCTCTGCCCTAGGACACAAATTTCTCTGCCTCCACGAGTCTCTAAGTGGATGGTCCTCCTGACCTCACTTGTTCCCTCTGGACAATGGGGCAGTTCACCACCTCTGCTTGCTGGGCTGGGGAGGGAGGAGGGTCCATTTAGGGCCGCGGACCTGGGGCGAGGGGAGGAGACGGGTCCTGGCCTGGCGGGAGGAGGGGCCTGCCCCTGGCCTGCAGCGTCCGTTCCCTTACCCCTCCCCCCACCTCAGGGGCCTCCTGCTTCTCTGTCTTGTTTCTGCTTTTCCCAGACTCAGGTGGAAACATCCCCAGGTCTCCCAACTCCCACCCCCAGCCTCTGAGCCGGTAGCACGGAGGCCGGAAGTTTGGGGAGCCTCTGAGGGCCTGTCTTCTCTGCTCCTCTTCCCCTGCCTCAGGAGTTCCCCATTCTCTGGGTCCGGGGAGGGGACCGGGTGTCCAGAGACCTAGTTCTAGTCTCCCACTGGCACAGATGCCTACGTAGCCTGGGCAGTTAGGCCACCTTGCCATGGGCCTCGGCATCCCCCATGTGTCCCTAGGTGGGGTCCAGGGGCCTGTGCACCCCTGCCCACAGCTGTAGTCCAGAGTGCTGTGTGACTGAGCCTAGGACTCTGAGCTCCCGCACTTCCCGTTCTTGGAGCCAGCTAATACTCCTCATCCTGGGGTGGGCTGAGGATTTGGGAGTGGGCAGAAGAGAGGCTTCTGTGTCCCAAAGCTAGGCCCTGGGTGGGTCTCCCAGCCTCCCCTTCAGTTTCATCTGTCCGCCCTCTTTCAGGACACAGCCCTGGGTGGAGGAGGAAAAACCCTTGTATCCTATTCCCACCCCCATGGAATGTTCTCTGACTGGGATGAGGCAACTGGGCCACCCAGGGCGGGCCGCACCTGGGAGGGACAGTGGAAGCACTGGGGTCCAGGTGCCCTGCTGCGGGGAGGGGGAGTAGGGGGCGTTCTAACCCAGGCAGGCTCAGCAGAAGCGCTGTCCCCCCGCAGCACCCCGGAGACCGCTGAGTTCCTGGGTGAGGACCTGCTGCAGGTACGTGCCTGGGCCGGGCGGGTGGGAAGGCAGGCCTGTGCAGGCTGTCGGAGCAGAGGGCCAGGGCGGGGATGCCAGCTAGGGGCCCGGGTTGAGTCATTCCTCAAGCTGTTGGCCATGGGGTCCCCAGGGGACAGTAGAAAGTTTCCTGCTCAGGGGGAGACAACTTTTCTTGATCCTTAACCTCCAAACCTCCTTGCCAGGTAGAACAGCGGCTGGAGCCGGCCAAGCGAGCGGCCCACAATGTCCACAAGCGGCTGCAGGCCTGTCTGCAGGGCCAGAGTGGGGCAGACATGGACAAGCGGGTGGTGAGTCGGGGGTCCTGGGAAGGAGGAGCCTGAGCAGGAGACTTCCGTCCAATGGGGAAGCAAAGTCGGGGCTGGAGTTTCCTTGCCAGTCTGAGTGGCACCAGTGGCATGGAGACTGCTCTGTTCCAAGGCCTCTCTGGCACTGCACTCAAAAGGCCCTGTACCTTCCCTGTCACCTTTACCCCACTTTCCTGTGCACCAATCCCCATAAGCCAAGGCCAGGCCTGTGCCAGCACCTGAACTTCTCTGTCCACTCAGCATGCAGAGCAGGCTCTCAATGGGGCAGCCTCAGAGGGCTTCCTGAAGGAGGTAGCAATTGAGCTGGCTTTTGAGGGATACTCATGTATTAATCAAGGGGCAGTGTTTATTGGCTGATAACTGCCAGCCTATTGCTAACATATTAGTGCATTGTCTCATGGAACACTGGCAACAACCCTAGGGAAAGGCACTGTTTTACAGATGAGGAATTGGAGGCTTAGAGATAAAGTCACTTGCCCAAGGTCATATAGCCAGTAAGTGGCAGAACTGAGGTTTGAACCCTGGTCTCTGATCCCAAAGCAGGCATTCTCCGTAACTCCAGATGGGGTGGGAGTGTGGGGCCATGTTTTGGAATCAGTTGACAATTCAGTGTGGCCAAGACAAGGAAATTGGGAGTCATAGGGCGTTTGAGCTCAGCAGTGGCTAGGTCAGCCACATATACCCTGGGACAGGGGAAAGAGCCCCCATTCCCAGGCCAGCTCCCCCTCCCATTCTCCCTCCACCCGTGTGACCTGGGGCAAGCTCCCTGCCCTCCCTGCATCTTAGTTTCCCAGTCTGCAGTAGGACTTGGTCATCCCTTCCTGCCCAGTCAAGTGGCTTCTGGGAAGAGGAAAAGGGCACTCCAGATGGGGAGGGGCTCCATCCATGGTCTCAGGGAAATGTCACCCCCACCACGCCTTGTCATCTTGTTTCCACTCTCATCTGGGACTGTGGCATTCCTGGGTTCCCTCCTCGCCTGCCCCCAAGGGGCTGGCCTGCTGCTCAGGCAGGGTGGAGGGAGGCAAGGACACTCACCGCCGGCCCCAACCTCCCTGCAGAAGAAGCTTCCCCTCATGGCTCTGTCCACCACGATGGCCGAGAGCTTCAAGGAGCTGGACCCTGATTCCAGCATGGGGTGAGCATAGACGGGGCCCTGCCCTCACCTGGGGCTACCAAGACATGATCTCAGCTGGGAGGGGTCCAGGTGGTGAGGGCATCCACATCGGAAGAATGACCAGGCTGGGGACAGTGCTCAAGTCAGTGAGGGCGGCCAGGCCTGGGAGGGTATTCGGCCTTAGCAGAGATGAAGGATATCTAGGAGGGTCCGGAATTGAAGGAGGAGAGGCCCCACCAGGTGTTTCCAGTGGAGGTGAGGGCAGCGGGCGCCTGGGCCCATGGGGTGCCGTGTCCACAGGAAGGCCCTGGAGATGAGCTGTGCCATCCAGAACCAGCTGGCCCGCATCCTGGCCGAGTTTGAGATGACCCTGGAGAGGGACGTCCTGCAGCCACTCAGCAGGCTGAGTGAGGTGAGCCTGTGCCCTGCTCCCGGTCCCCACCTTCCCCGGTTGCTGGCTCCGTCCTCCCCCAGCACACTGACCCCCCATGCCCATCCTCAGGAGGAGCTGCCAGCCATCCTGAAGCACAAGAAAAGCCTCCAGAAGCTCGTGTCCGACTGGAACACACTCAAGAGCAGGTGGGAGCCCCGGCCACTCAGGGGGCTCATATCTGGGTCAGCCCACAGAGATGGTCGTAGAGCTTTGAGGCCCTGGCCACACCGGGAGGATGCTGTGGGGTCCGCTAAGTACAGTGTGTATACTTGCGCATGCCTGGTCCCTAGAAACACAGGTGGTGAGGGTATCTGTGAGGGTGTGCCCGTGTGTGTCACAGCTGGTGCTGGGGCGACCCCAAAGCGTAGGACCGCCATAAACAGTCCTGCGGCTGTCCCTGTTCTCGGCTCTGCTGGGTGGCTGTGATCACCAAACCCGCCACCAGGGGGCAACCCAGCGCACTCGTAGCCCAGCCTGGGCTGAGGCCCCAGCCAGTGGAGCTCTCAGATCTGCAGCTCCAAATCCTAGAATACCATGTGGTCTGCTGTATGGAGGGGACACTTGGCTCTGGACATGCAACAGGGCAGGTGACCAGCTCCCCTTGGGATCATCCCCAGGCTCAGTCAGGCAACCAAGAATTCAGGCAGCAGTCAAGGCCTGGGAGGCGGCCCGGGCAGTCACAGCCACACGACTATGGCCAACAAGGTGGAGACGCTGAAGGAGGAGGAGGAAGAGCTGAAGAGGAAGGTGGAGCAATGCAGGGTGAGGGCCACATGGGTCTCCTGGATGTACAGGGGTGGCAGGGGTGGGTCCTGGCCCCATCTCACAGGCAAGGAAGCTGAAGCTCAGAGGGGTGACATGACTTGCCTAAGGCCATGTGGCTAGGAGGCAGCAGAGCTCCGCCATTCCCTTTTACCCTCTTCTGTCTGTACCCCATGCATAACATGGGGAGGCCAAGACTTGGTCTGTTCCCTGAGTCTCCGTGTGTTTGCTGAACGAGTAAGTGAATGAATGAAGAGTGAATGAATGATTGGATGATAACAGCACTGTGCATGGCCGGGCGCGGCGTCTCACACCTGTAATCCCAGCACTTTGGGAGGCAGGCAAATCATGAGGTCAGGAGTTCAAGACCAGCCTGGCCAACATGGTGAAACCCCATCTCTACTAAAAATACAAAAACTTAGCTGGGCGTAGTGGCGGGCGCCTATAATCCCAGCTACTCGGGAGGCTGAGGCAGGAGAGTTGCTTGAACCCAGGAGGCGGAGGTTGCAGTGAGCCGAGATCGCGCCATTGCAGTCTAGCCTGGGCAACAGTGCGAGATTCTGTCTCAAAAAAAAAAAAAAAACAAAAAAAACAAAACAGGGCACTGTGCTAAGGCTATGGGGACACAGAGATGGGGACGAGAAGCCAGAAAAGTCTGAGGGAGTTCCCATGGGCTGGCCCCAAGCACCAACCTTGGCAGAAGAGAGGAGCCTGGCTGGGACTTCCACCTGCAGCTGTGTGGCCTGGGGCACAGGTCGCCAACCCCTCCAAGCCTCCTCTTTCCCTCTAGACCCCCTGCCTCACCCAATGTAAGCTCTCCCCTCTCTGTCCCCAAGGACGAGTACTTGGCTGACCTGTACCACTTTGTTACCAAGGAGGACTCCTATGCCAACTATTTCATTCATGTGAGTCCAAGACCGGGCCCCATCCATCCAGAGCTCGGGGCTGAATGCCACAGCCAGGGTCCAGTGGGGCTCTGTGCGATGGTGGAGGGGGTGTCTGCTCTCAAGGACCCTAGAGAAGGCTCAGCTTCCCTCACTTCCACTCAGGGTGTCCCTTCGTCCCCACAGCTCCTGGAGATTCAAGCCGATTACCATCGCAGGTCACTGAGCTCTCTGGACACGGCCCTGGCTGAGCTGAGGGAGAACCATGGCCAAGCAGGTGGGGACGTAGGCCCGGCGATACCACACCCCTGACCCCGCCCTGTTCGGGGCTTACTGAGAAGCTTGCACTTCATCCTGAAAGGCAGCAGAAAGCTGTGGCTGGGGTCTGAGAGCTGGGTTTAATCTGTGACGGAGAGGCTGCTCTGGCTGCCATGTGGAGGGTGGAGTGAAGGGGGCAGGACTAGAGCCAGGCCTGTGAGACAGAAGGAGGCAACAGTAGCCTAGACTAGGACAGACGCAGTGGAGGCGGGCTGATTGGAGAGATGTGATGGATGATTTCAGATGTGGGCCTGGACAGTCGGTGGCAGGTGGTACCACCTTGAGGACATCGGGGGGTGCCCCTGCCTGACTGCTTGGGTGGAAAGGCCCTGGGCCGCTGATCTGTTTCATCCCTGCAGACCACTCCCCGTCGATGGCAGCCACCCACTTCTCCAGGGTGTATGGGGTGTCGCTGGCAACCCACCTGCATGAGCTGGGCCGGGAGATTGCCCTGCCCATTGAGGCCTGCGTCATGATGCTGCTTTCTGAGGGCATGAAGGAAGAGGTGGGGCCCCCTGGGGCAGGTGGGGAAGGAGCACTGGGGCCCTCATTCTGTCCCAAACCCCCCACATGCTGCCCTGTCGTGGTGCCTGAAATTCCCTCATTCGAGCCCAGTTCCCTGGGAGAAGACATGGTCACCTCCTGCGGCATCCACACTACCTCCCGCGTGTCGATGCTTGCGTGGGCCAGGCGCTGTGCTAGAAGCCTTTGCATTCCTGGCTCCATTTCACAAGAGGGAGACAGAGGTACAGAGGTAACCATGCCCAGAGTCATATGAGAAGGTGACTTCTCAAACCAGGGGCTCCACTGCCACACACTGGCTGGATCTGCTGTGAATACATTGCCCCCCTGTCCTGCAGACAGACCCTGGAGGTGGCAGATACCCCAAATTAGTTTTGAGCTACTCTGCAATCCTGCTAGGGCCTCCTTTCTCCCTTACACTTCTTTTTTTTTTTTGAGTTACGGGGTCTTGCTCTGTTACCCAGGCTGGAGTGCAGTGGCGCGATCTCGGCTCACTGCAGCCTCCACCTCCTGGGTTCAAGTGATTCTCCTGCCTCAACTTCACAAGTAGCTGGGACTGCAGGCGTGCGCCAACACGCCCAGCTAATTTTTGTATTTTTTAATCGAGATGAGAGTATGTTGGCCAGACTGGTCTTGAACTCCTAACCTCAGGTGATCCACCTGCCTCGGCCTCCCAGAGTGCTGGGGTTACAAGCATAAGCCACTGTGCCCGGCCCTTTTTTTTTTTTTTTTTTTTGAGACAGGATCTCGCTGTCACCCAGGCTGTAGTGCAGTGGTATGCTCCTGGCTCACTGCAGCCTCTACCTCCCAGGTTCAAGCAATTCTTGTGTCTCAGTCTCCCAAGTAGCTGGGATTACAGATGTCCACCACCATGCCCAGCTAATTTTTTTTATTTTAGTAGAGATGGGTTTTTACCATGTTGTCCAGGCTGGTCTCGAACCCCTGGCCTCAAGTGATCTACCTGCATGGGCCTCCCAAAGTGCTGCAATTACGGGCATGAGCCACCGCGCCTGGCCCCTCCTTTCCACTTCTGACTGGGCTCCCATTTCCCCATGATTTTTCCCACCTCCTCCCAGACTTCCCAGCCCCGCCCTTTGCTCAGAATTCTAGACCTTGAAGGTTGAGGCCTGTGGACACCATGGTGCCCACACTGCCGGCCACACCAGTGGGGACACAGGCCTAGCGAGGGCCAGTGACACACCCCAGGCTCCAAGGCCCCTGGGTATCCTGCCCTGCCCACCCCTCTATGACCCTTGCCTGCCCCCTCTTGAACCCAGGGTCTCTTCCGTCTGGCTGCTGGGGCCTCAGTGCTGAAGCGTCTCAAGCAGACGATGGCCTCGGACCCCCACAGCCTGGAGGAGTTCTGCTCCGACCCACACGCCGTGGCAGGTGCCTGATCCGGGGAGCCCTGGGCAGGAGGTTGGGGGGAAGGGGTGCAGTGGCATGAAATGATCCCAAGATAGCCTGGCTTCAAGGCTTGATACTCTGTTGAGGAGACTGAGGACGCTCAGGGGTTCTTAATGTGGGATCCATCATGAGCCCCCCAAAATGTTTGTACATTTTTCTGGGGAAATGATGGCTAACCTTCATTTTCTCAAAAGGGCCTGCAGCCCAAAGAAACTGTCAGACCTAGACACGTTAGTGTGAACAAGGGCCGGAGGTTCCTTCTACAGGGAAAGTGGGCGAGCGGGGTGGGGGCTGCCTCTGACCCTCCCCACACTCCTGCTTCAGGTGCCCTCAAGTCCTATCTGCGGGAGCTGCCAGAGCCCCTGATGACCTTCGACCTCTATGATGACTGGATGAGGGCAGCCAGGTGAGGATGTTGGAGGAGGGAGGGGATAGGGAGGAGGAGGATGCAAAGGGATAGCCCTGTGCTGGCTGACAGGTCTCTCCACTCCCCCCGCAGCCTGAAGGAGCCAGGGGCCCGGCTGCAGGCCCTCCAAGAAGTGTGCAGCCGCCTGCCCCCCGAGAACCTCAGCAACCTCAGGTGAGCTCAAGCCCGCCCCCCCAGCCTGCCGCAGAGCCAGAGCCCAGCTGGGGTCAGGGACCCTGGGCTTGAGCCTGGCCTTGTCACTATATTTTAAGAAATATTTCTGCAAATGCAGCTTTGATGGATTAGTCATTTACATATATATACACTTTTTTTTTTTTTTTTTTTTTTGAGACAGGGTCTCACGCTGTCGTCCAAGCTGGAGTGTAGTGCTGCAATCTCAGCTCACTACAATCTCCGCCTGCTGGGTTCAAGCAATTCTCCTGCCTCAGCCAGCCTCCTGAGTAGCTGGGACTACAGGCACCTGCCACCACACCCGGCTAAGTTTTGTATTTTTAGTAGAGATGGGGTTTCACCATGTTGGTCAGGCTGGACTCGAACTCCTGATCTCAGGTGATCCACTCGCCTCAGTCTCCCAAAGTGCTGGGATTACAGGCGTGAGGCACTGCACCCGGCCGAATTAGTCACATACATATTTTTATGTAAAGCATTGAAGTGAATGAGACCTTGAACTTTTGAAGCCATACTGCCTGACTTCGCATGCCACCCTCGAGGCAGGCCACTCGGCGTCATCATCTGAAAAATGCAGACTGTAACAGTCCCTACCCTGTAGGGTGGCTTCGAGGACTCAAGTTGGCTCAGTGCCGGCCGTAGGGTTGGCGCTCAGCGGATAAGCTGCTTTAACTGTGACAATGTTAAGACCATTCTGGGCAGTGTCTTTCACACTCTTTGGAAACCCTGAGCTGGAGAATTCTCAGGGCTGGGTGCGTTCTGCCCCTGGCCTAAGCCTACCTCTGCCCTTAGGTACCTGATGAAGTTCCTGGCACGGCTGGCCGAGGAGCAGGAGGTGAACAAGATGACACCCAGCAACATCGCCATAGTCCTGGGACCCAACTTGCTGTGGCCACCTGAGAAAGAAGGGTGAGGGGCCGTGGGCTGGGGGAGGTGGGAGGAGGAAGGCAGATCCCACCCCAGCCATCTGTTGTCTTATTTTTCCCCTGGGCCTCGGTGTCCCCATTTTTGGAGTGGGTTGAGCAGCTCCTGTTTTTGCGGCTGCCGTGAATAACAGGCCGAAGGGGCCGTGCAGGCCACAGGGCTTTGGAGAGAGGCATTCTGGCATTCTGGCCAGTGGTGGTGATGAGATGTTTAGTGGCATGGGAAGCTGGGAGCCCAGAGATCGGGTTCGGGTTTTTTGTTTTGTTTTGTTTTGTTTTTTGTTTTTCTTTTTTTTTTTGAGACAGAGTTTCACTCTTGTTGCCCAGGCTGTAGTGCAGTGGCATAATCTCTGCTCACTGCAACCTCTGCCTCCCCAGTTCAAGCAATTCTCCTGCCTCAGTCTCCCAAGTAGCTGGGACTACAGGTGCGCACCACCACTCCTGGCTAATTTTTTGTATTTTTAGTAGAGACGGGATTTCACCGTGTTAGCCAGGGTGGTCTCGATCTCCTGACCTCGTGATCCACCAGCCTCGGCCTCCCAAAGTGCTGGGATTACAGGTGTGAGCCACCGTGTCCAGCTCAATCAGGTTCTATTAATAGCTCCACCCCTGGCCGGGCGCGGTGGCTCAAGCCTGTAATCCCAGCACTTTGGGAGGCTCTCAGGAGGCTGAGGCAGGAGAATGGCATGAACCCAGGGGGTGGAGCTTGCAATGAGCGAAGATTGTGCCACTGCACTCCAGCCTGGGCAACAGAGCGAGACTCTGTCTCAAAAAAAAAAAAGAGAAGAAGAAACAGGCCGGGCACAGCGGCTCATGCCTGTAATCCCAGCACTTTGGGAGGCCGAGGTAGGTGGATCACCTGAGGTTGGGAGTTCGAGACCAGCCTGGCCAACGTGGTGAAACTCCGTCTCTACTAAAAATACAAAAATTACCTGAGCGTGGTGGTACACGCCTGTAATCCCAGCTACTCAGGAGGCTGAGGCAGGAGAATTGCTTGAACCCGGGAGGTGGAAGTTGCAGTGAGCAAAGATGGGGCCACTGCCCCCCAGCCTACAGAGCAGGACTCCGTCTCAAAAAAAAAAAAAAAGAAGAAATAATAAAAAGTGTAAAGTGCAGTGCTATGTGAGGAGTCATCATTATTTACCTGGCCATAGATGGCAAGATTTTCTCCCACGTGCTGATTGCATTTGTTTGGTAGAGGCTGTCTAGATGACAACCATGAGGGAAAGAGTCCTTGATTAATTTGTGGTGTCTGTCAGGGTGAGGAAAGGGGGACATTTGGCATGTGAGTGATACATTTACCATCAACTGGTGGTTTGTGGGCTTTTTGAGAACAAGGACTCAATATGATGGATCCTCGTGTCTCCACTGCCCAGCACAGGACCAGAGAGTTGGGGTCACAAACCCTTTGCTAAGCAGATGCATCTCTTTGTCCCAGGGACCAGGCCCAGCTGGATGCGGCTTCCGTGTCTTCCATCCAGGTGGTGGGTGTTGTCGAGGCGCTGATCCAGAGTGCAGACACCCTCTTCCCTGGAGGTGAAGCTCCTGCCTGCATGGATCCCCTGCTGGGTGCCCTCCTTCTGCCCTGCTCCCTCCCCTGCAGCCCCACAAACTCACCATGAGTCCAGGAGGAAGTCTGAGCCTCAGTTTCTCATTTCTACAATGGGGATGGTCTGCCTGCTTTGTGGGGTTGTGATGAGACCCACACGGGAGTGGGGAAGCTGAGCATGGTCCACATGGGTTCAGGGGAAGGGGGAATGGTCCCAGCCAGTGGAGTGAGGAGTCTGGCACAGTCTCTGAGAGCCGTCTCCACTCCTTCTGTCTCCAGACATCAACTTCAACGTGTCAGGCCTCTTCTCAGCTGTTACCCTCCAGGACACGGTCAGTGACAGGCTGGCCTCTGAGGAACTTCCACCCACTGCCGTGCCCACCCCAACCACCACCCCGGCTCCGGCTCCAGCTCCAGTTCCAGCCCCAGCCTTGGCCTCAGCAGCTACCAAGGAAAGGTGAGGACTGAGGGGCATGAATGGCTCCTGTGGTGGTCCCACAGACAGTCTGCCTGAGGCACCATGTCTCAGAGCTGGAAGCTGAATTTTTAGAAATGTAATTATTGGCCGGGCGCAGTGGCTCAAGCCTGTAATCCCAGCACTTTGGGAGGCTGAGACAGGTGGATCACGAGGTCAGGAGATCGAGACCATCCTGGCTAACACGGTGAAACCCCGTCTCTACTAAAAAATACAAAAAACTAGCCGGGCAAGGTGGCGGGCGCCTGTAGTCCCAGCTACTCGGGAGGCTGAGGCAGGAGAATGGCGTAAACCCGGGAGGCGGAGCTTGCAGTGAGCTGAGATCCGGCCACTGCACTCCAGCCTGGGCGACAGAGCGAGACTCCGTCTCAAAAAAAAAAAAAAAAGAAAAGAAATGTAATTATTAGTGTTTTCATCCCAAAGACCAGATCTCCTAGTTTGGAGAGGGTGGGGCGGAGACTCAGAGACAGTATTTGTCTCAGCCACTGATGTGTGCCCTGTTCATCATGTGGCAATTTCCTGAGCACCTACTGTGTACCAGGCTTTGTGTCCAATTCTAGGGAACTCGAGAGATGATCGTTTTGGAATCTGAAAATACCTTCGAGAGTTGTTTCGTTTTGTTTTGTTTAAGGCAGAGTCTCACTCTGTCGCCCCAGGCTGGAGTGCAGTGGCACAATCTTGGCTCACTGCAACCTGTGCCTCCCAGGTTCAAGTGATTCTCATGCCTCAGCCTCCCAAGTAACTGGGATTACTTGGGAGACAGGTGCCACCACACCTGTCTAATTTTTGTATGTTAAGTAGAGACGGGGTTTCACCATGTTGGCCAGGCTGGTCTTGAACTCCTGGCCTCAAATGATCCACCCACCTTGGTCCCTGAAAGTGTTGGGATTACAGGTGTGAGCCACTGCATCCGGCCTCTTTTTTTGTTATTGTTTGTTTATTTTTTTGAGACGGAGTTCGCTCTGTTGCCTAGGCTGGAGTGCAGTGGCGAGATCTTGGCTCACGTGCAGCTTCCACCTCCTGGGTTCAAGCAATTCTCCTGCCTCAGCCTCCTGAATAGCTGGGACTTCAGGCATGCACCACCACAGCTGGCTAATTTTTGTATTTGCAGTAGAGACAGGGTTACCCCATGTTGGCGAGGCTGGTTTTGAACTCCTGGCCTCAAGCAAACCGCCTGCCTCAGCCCCTCAAAGTGCTGGGATTACAGGCATGAGCCACCATGCTTGGCTGCAGTCTTCTCTTTGATCGTTTAAATCTGGAAGGGCTTTGTGGTACCGTGGCGCCTACATACCAAGCAGCTGCTGTTCAGGGTACCACAGAGCACTGCAGCTCACACCTTGAATTTCCTGATGAGCAAGACAAATGCTTACGTTCCAGGGCACAGGGAGAGAGAGACAGCATCAAGCACAGCCACCGGTGCGTTCTCTCTATAGTGTCAGGTGGAGAGGCGCTGCCAAGGGAGGGGGAGCAGGATAAGAGAGAGCGCAGGGGGCTACTTTAGCTGTGGGGCCAGGAAAGGCCTCCCTGAGGAAGAGACGACCAAGCAGAGACCCGAAGGCAGTGAGGAATGAGCCTGGGACCCCCTCTGCTTCTCACCTGCTCTCTGGCTTCCAGTGGCCAAAGCATCTCATAAAGATGGCGTGGAGGCAGACTGGGCAACATAGCAAGACTGTGTCTCTACAAAAAATAAATGAGGTCGTTGTGATGGTACACACCTGTGGTCCCAGCAACCCAGGAGGCTATGGTGGGAGAATTTCTTGAGCCTAGGAGGTCGAGGCTACAGTGAGCAATGATGATGCCATTGCACTCAGCCTGGGCGACAGAGTGAGATCCTGTCTCACAAAGAAATGACCGGGTGTGGTGGCTCACGCCTGTAATCCCAGCACTTTTGGAGGCCAAGGCAGGTGGATCACTTGAGGTCAGGAATTTGAGACCAGCCTGGCCAACATGGTGAAATCCCGTCTCTACTAAAAATGCAAAAAATTAGCCGGGCATGATAGCGCACACCTGTAATCCCAGCTACTCGGGAGGTTGAGGCAGGAGAATGACTTGAACCAGGGAGGCGGAGGTTGTGGTGAGCCAAGATCGTGCCATTGCACTCCAGCCTGGGCAACAAGAATGAAACTCTGTCTCAAAAAAAAAAAGAAAGAAGGAAAGAAAAAGAAATGGCCGGGTGTGGTGGCTCACACCTGTAATCCCAGCACTTTGGGAGGCTGAGACAGGTGGATCACTTGAAGTCAGGAGTTTGAGACCAGCCTGGCCAACATGGTGAAACCCCATCTCTACTAAAAATGTAAAAAATTAGCAGGGCATGGTGGCACGCACCTGTAATCTCAGCTACTCGGGAGGCTGAGACAGGAGAATCCCATGAACCCAGGAGGCGGAGGTTGCAGTGAGCCAAGATTGTGTCACTGCACTCCAGCCTGAGCGACAGAGCGAGACTTCTTCTCAACAACAACAACAAAACAAGGCTAGGTGGTGCACACCTGTAATCCTAGCACTTTGGGAGGCAAAGGTGGATAGAAGTTCACTTGAGACCAGGAGTTCAAGACCAACATGACAAAACCCCATCTCTACTGCAAAAAAAAAAAAAAAAAAAAGCCAGGCATGGTGGTGTGTGCCTATAATCCCAGCTACTCCAGAGGCTGAGGCAGGAGAATTGCTTGAACTTTGGAGGTGGAGGCTGCAGTGAGCTGAGATCGCACCATTGCACTCCAGCCTGGGTGACAGAGCAAGACTCTGTCTCAAGAAAAAAAAGCACATGGAGGCCTTGAGCTGGGGCAGAGGTCAGGCCCTATGTCCCACCTCCCATCCTGTCCCCATCCTGGCCCTACCTGCCAGGCAGGTGGGACTCCCTCCTGGTCCCTGGAGGAACATGGACTCTGTCACAGGGTCACAAAGCAGCCAGGGCCTCAGTGGATGGTGCGGACAGGGTGATAGTGCTGGGAGGATCCAGGCTCCACCTGGCAGCTGGAGACTTGCCAGGATTCCATGAGACTTCTGGGAGGTGACCAAGTCTGCCCCATCCTCTCCTTCCCTCTGCAGGACAGAGTCTGAGGTACCCCCCAGACCAGCCTCCCCCAAGGTCACCAGGAGCCCCCCGGAGACAGCTGCCCCGGTGGAGGATATGGCTCGGAGGAGTGAGTTGGCTGTGGGAGGGGAGGAGGGGACAGAGGGTGGACGGGGAGAGGGGACAGGCAGTCCCAGGTCCTCCTATCTTTTTAGGCAGCCAGGGGAGGCCAAGGAACCAAGGTGATATAAAGCCGAGGTTTTGCCACCTGGCACTCTGGGTTTAGATTTGAGCTCTTTGACCTTGGGCAGGTGAGTTCACCTGTCTGAGCCTCACCTTCCTCCTCTGTGTAATGGGACAGTGTCTGCACTTACCTTACGGGGCTCCACGGAGCCTTCAGTGGTGCTGCTGGAAGAGTGCCTGGCCCTGGCATACAGCAAATGCCCACTAAAGGGGAGCCGGCGTGAGTGCTAGGGTACTGGAGTCCCGTCCCTCCAGAGGCCCAAAAGTCACAGATTACAGTGGAAGGAGAGAGTCGTTAAAGGGCAGTGAAGGGGCGAGGCACAGTAGCTCACACATGTAAACCCAGCACTTTGGGAGGCTAAGGCGGGTGGATCACTTGAGGCCAGGAGTTCAAGACCAGCCTGGCCAACATGGTGAAACCTCATCTCTACTAAAAATACAAAAATTAGCTGGGCATGGTGGCGGGTGCCTATAATCCCAGATACTCAGGAGGCTGAGGCAGGAGAATCACTTGAACCCGGGAGGTGGAAGTTGCAGTGAGCAAAGATCACGCCACTGCACTCACAAGAGTGAGACTCTGTCTCAAAAAAAAAAGGGCAGTGGCAGTGAAGGAGAGGAGGTGGCAGGGATGGGAAGAAACCAGGGGCCTCCTGAGCCCTTCTGGCACGCTCACCTGTCAATTTGACCCAGAGCTGGCCAGGTGAGAGAGTGACTGACACCTTCGGGTGGCCCTGCCCAGCCTCAGAGGCAGTGGAGGCAGTGGGCAGTGGACAGCCAGGAGTAGGCGGAACAGCTCTGGGAGCCTTGTGACCAGGGCTGGCAGGTAGTCTACAGTAAAATTAAAATGAACAAGATAGGCCAGGGACGGTGGCTTACGCCTGCCATCCCAGCACTTTGAGAGGCCGAGGCAGGAGACTCGCTTGAGCCCTGGAGTGCAAGACCAGCCTGGGCAATACAGTGAGACCCTGTCTCAAAATTTAAGAATTTTAAAAATTAGAAATAAATGGACAAGATAATTTCAGAGGACAAAAACTCCTGCAAAGAAAATAAAACTGGAAAATGTGACGGAGCAGCTCGGGTGGGGCACGGGGTGGGGCTCTAACTAGGGTGCTCAGGGAGGGCTTCCAAGGGGGCGAAGGGCACAAGGAGAGGCCTAGATGATGAGGAGCCAGCCGCGGAAACGGTGTTCCCGGCAGAGGGAATGGCAGATGCAAAGGTTGTGAGGGGGCACGGAGCTTGGTGGATTCACCACAGCCACGTGGACGCTCAAGATCCCTCACCCTTTCCTTCCTCAACAGCCAAGCGCCCAGCACCAGCCCGGCCCACCATGCCGCCCCCCCAGGTCTCCGGCTCCCGTTCCTCCCCTCCAGCCCCGCCCCTGCCCCCTGGCTCTGGAAGCCCTGGGACCCCCCGAGCCCTGCCCCGACGTCTGGTTGGCAGCAGCCTCCGAGCCCCCACAGTGCCACCCCCATTACCCCCCACACCCCCTCAGCCTGCCCGGCGCCAAAGCCGGCGTTCACCAGCCTCCCCCAGCCCAGCCTCCCCAGGTCCAGCCTCCCCCAGCCCGGTCTCCCCAGGTCCAGCCTCCCCCAGCCCAGTCTCTCTGAGTACCCCTGCACAGGTGGACCTGGGGGCTGTCACAGCAGAGGGAGGAGCCCCTGAGGCTGTCGGTGGGGTCCCCACTACCCCAGCTATCCCCCCTCAGCCCCGCCCCAGGAGCCTTGCCTCAGAGACTAACTGAGTGGCTGGTTTCTTCCTGAGCAGCCCCCAGCATCCCCTCCCTCCACACCTGGCCCTCCCAAGACAGCTCTCACCCCCCACAAAGGGGCGTGGGCCTCCAGCCTTTGCCCACAAGTGCCTCAGTGCCCACTGGGTCGGCCCCCATGGCCAGGAGGACTCAGGACAGTCCCCCACTTCCTGACCTTTTCCTCATCCACCCTGGGCTTGGGGAGCCCCTGCTGGACTCTCCACTCTCCAGCAGGTCCTAGGGGAGCCACCGGAAGGAAGGAGAGGCTTCCCTGCTCCTAGGGGACCGATTCTTCTCTTGCCAACATATTTTTTGTAAGGCTGGTAAATAAATTATTTTGGACAAAACTGGAGCAGCTGCCCAAATGATAGTTTTATTTTCTGTTCTTGAAATAAAGAAGCCAATTTTATAAAGGCGAAAAAAATACATATTCTTTGCCTTTCTTCCTGTCTGAAATGAGATCACAGCAGACATGCAGACATTTTTAGAGCTTTCTCTGCACTACATGCTGTGCTTTTCTGTGGATGATTTCCACTTAATCTTCTCCTAGCGCAGTAAATACCATTACCTCTTACCAGTGAGGAGACTGAGGCTCAGACAGAAGTGACCTGCCAAGGTCACACGGCAGTCAGGCAGGGGCCTGGGATTAGAGCCTAGGTCTGACTTCAAAGCCTGGCTTGTCCCTCACATTCTGGACAATTCACTTTAACTTCTTGGTATCCCTTTTCCTCATTTGCGAAACTTTGTAACAATTCCCTCCATGGAGGCATTGCTCTCCAGTGAAAACCAGAGCACGGCCCTTGGCCTACCACTCCCACTGTTTCCTGGACCCCTCACTCCTTTGGGGAGGAGGCTGGGAAGGCTCCCCAAGGAGCAGGGATGGATCTGTCCTCAAACCTTCCCTAAATCTGCTCTGTGCCAGGCCCTGAGCTAGCTCCCAGACTTAACTCTGTACCCAAAGAGTTCCCGAACAGACAGGCAGAAGTGACCATTAGAATCAAGTGTCTGGCCAGGCACGGTGGCTCATGCCTGTAATCCCAACACTTTGGGAGCCCCAGGCAGGATGATCGCTTGAGCCCAGGAGTTCTAGACCAGCCTGGGCAACATAGTGAGACCCTGTCTCTACAAAACAAATTTTAAAAATTAACTGGGCATAGTGGCATGTGCCTGTAGTCTCAGCAACTAGGAAGGCTGAGGCACGAGGATCGCTTGAGCCAGGAGTTCGAGGCTTCAGTGAGCAGTGATCATGCCACTGCACTCCAGCCTGGGTGACAGTGTAAGACCCTGTCTCAAAAACAAAATCAAGTGTCATTGCACTGGGAGCCCATATTAGCCAAGTTAGGGGTGGCCATATAACCTAGACTCAGGTGTATGGGGTGGGTGGTTAAGGAAGCCTTCCTGGAGGAGGTGATTTTTAAGGGAAGTCTTTCAGGAGGCTGACCTGAAGGTGAATTTTATTTATTTATTTTATTATTTATTTTTTTATCTTTTTTTTTTTTTTTTTTTTTTTGAGACGGAGTCTTGCTCTGTCACCCCAGGCTGGAGTACAGTGGCCGGATCTCAGCTCACTGCAAGCTCCTCCTCTCGGGTTTCACGCCATTCTCCTGCTCAGCCTCCGAGTAGCTGGGACTACAGGCACCGCCACCTCGCGCCGGCTAGTTTTTTGTATTTTTTAGTAGAGACGGGGTTTCACCGTATTAGCCAGGATGGTCTCGATCTCCTGACCTCCTGATCCGCCCGTCTCGGCCTCCCAAAGTGCTGGGATTACAGGCTTGAGCCACCGCGCCCGGCCTATTTTTTATCTTTTTTGAGACAGAGTCTGACTCTGTCGCCCAGGCTGGAGTGCAGTGTGCGATCTCAGCTCACTGCAAGCTCCGCCTCCCGGCTTCAAGCGATTCTGCTGCCTCAGTCTCCCGGGTAGCTGGGATTACAGGCGCCCACCACCATGCGCGGCTAATTTTTTTTTTTTTTTTTTTTTTTTTTGTATTTTTAGTAGAGACGGGGTTTCACCATAGCCAGGATGGCCCTGATCTCCTAACCTCGTGGTCCACCCATCTCAGCCTCCCAAAGTGCTGGGATTACAGGCGTGAGCCACCGAGCCCAGCCCTGAAGGTGAAATTTTTAAAGGAAAAAGGAACATTCAGGCCAAGGAGACTACCTATGTAAAGGTCAGGAGCAAAAGGCTTAGCGCACTTGGGGAGTAGGAGGTAGCTGAGCTTCAAAGGTTGGGTTACAAGGCACGATTTTTCCCAAGTCTTTGGAGCTCCAGTTGTTCCTGGGGGTCACAGCCTTCTCTGAAATTGGCAGACAACTTCAAAACTATGACACCACAGCTCATAATTCATTCATCCCCACACTGCAGACCAGTGGCTCCTCAAAGGTCCCAAGACCTGTAGTTGCCTCCAGATCACAAGGCTCCCTCCCTAAGATAGGGACCCAGCCAACCTGGGTCACCCCATCACTATCCTGGACAATTGGCCACGGCCACTCTGCCTCCTGCCTTCCCAGGGCGTAGTCCGGTGACAGCCTGCCTGCCTCTAGCCCAGTGCTTCCCTACCCTAGCCTCACAGCAGAATCCCTGTAATTCAACCAACCAACCAAAAAATGCCCAGTCCTCACCCAAAACAGTTACACGAGAATCTGTCCTGCTACACATCGGTGATTTTAAAAGCATTTGTCAAAAGACATTGAACTGTACATTTAAGATCTATGCGTGGCCGGGCGCGGTGGCTCAAGCCTGTAATCCCAGCACTTTGGGAGGCCGAGACGGGCGGATCACGAGGTCAGGAGATCGAGACCATCCTGGCTAACACGGTGAAACCCCATCTCTACTAAAAAAAATACAAAAAACTAGCCGGGCGAGGTGGCGGGCGCCTGTAGTCCCAGCTACTCGGGAGGCTGAGGCAGGAGAATGGCGTAAACCCGGGAGGTGGAGCTTGCAGTGAGCTGAGATCCGGCCACTGCACTCCAGCCTGGGCGACAGAGCAGACTCCGTCTCAAAAAAAAAAAAAAAAAAAAAAAAAGATCTATGCATTTTACTATATGTAAATGATATCTGAAAATAAGTTTCCAGGGGACTCTAACGCAGTGTGAAGAACTACTGGTCTAGACCGAGGACTCCAGCACCCAAGAAGACACCATGTGCCCCCTACCTCATCATACCCATACGTTTCTTGGGACTTCGCTCAGAACTGTAGCGTCCACGATTCAGAGGGCAATGAGATTTGACCCAAAGGCAGTTCATTTAGCATCTGCTTTTCTCCTAGCAACCAGCTCGCCTAAGCTTCTGATTGGCTGGAGGCGCGGGGCCTTCGCTTCGCATTTTCTGTTTGTAGATTCTTATTGGTTAAGAAGAGCGTCAGTCTCTCATCCCGTAAGAGTGTAGTCCGCGTTGAAACTCGGCGGCGACTGGCCCAGCAGAACCAGGGACGGGGAGAGGGATCAGGATAGCTCTTCATTGGTCCCTTCCCCTCGTTGTTGGCCACGATTCCGCCCCTTTCTCCAAGTTCCGTTCGCTCGCGGCCTAGGTTCTCTCCCAGACTCTCGCCCCCATTGGCCGCAGGCCACGCCTTCGCCCCGCCCCCGGTCCTTCCAGCGCGCCAATTGGCGGCTGCGGGGAACGTGCCAGGACGAGCGCGCTGTGCCCGCGGAGAGAGCGCGGCGCGGGAGGCCGGCGGCCAGCCGGCTGCATGGCGCGCTGCGAGAGGCTGCGCGGAGCGGCCCTGCACGAGGTGCTGGGCCGGGCGCAGGGGGTCCTGTTCGACTGTGACGGGGTGCTGTGGAACGGCGAGCGCGCCGTGCCGGGCGCCCCGGAGCTGCTGGAGCGGCTGGCGCGGGCCGGCAAGGCGGCTCTGTTTGTGAGCAACAACAGCCGGCGCGCGCGGACCGAGCTGGCCCTCCGCTTCGCGCGCCTCGGCTTCGCGGGGCTGCGCGCCGAGCAGCTCTTCAGCTCCGCGCTGTGCGCCGCGCGCCTGCTGCGCCAGCGCCTGCCCGGGCCTCCGGGCGCGCCGGGCGCCGTGTTCGTGCTGGGCGGCGAGGGGCTGCGCGCCGAGCTGCGCGCCGCGGGGCTGCGCCTGGCTGGGGACTCGGGTGACGACCCGAGCGCAGGGGACGGCGCGGCCCCGCGCGTGCGCGCCGTGCTCGTGGGCTACGACGAGCACTTCTCCTTCGCCAAGCTGAGCGAGGCGTGCGCGCACCTGCGCGACCCCGAGTGCCTGCTCGTGGCCACCGACCGTGACCCATGGCACCCGCTGAGCGACGGCAGCCGGACCCCTGGTGAGCGCAGGAATGGCGGGGAAACTGAGATGGAGGCGATTTGCGCATTCGCCTCCACGCCTAAGGGTGAGGGGCGGGGAAGAGGCGTCTCCAGGTGGCAGGTGGGGAACAGGAGGGTGCGAGGGAGGCCCAGGGTGCTTTGGTGGGTGTAGGGGGATGATACCTGTAGCCGCCATCCTGTGAGGGGCAGAGTGTGGTCCCTGTTGGACAGATGAGGAAACTGAGGCCCATTGTAACTCAGGGAGTTGGGCGGAATTCTGCCCCACCCACCATCGCTCTGGGGTTGGAGAGGAAGCCTGGGAGGATTGTCCCTCGTTGTGAGGGTTGAAACTCCATTCCCAGAGGTAGGGTGTAGGCAGGTGTGTGGAGAGCAAAGGCGGTGGAGTTTGACCTCAGTTCCAGGTCCATCTCCAGCTCCACAGCTGTGTAATCATGTTCAGTTACATAACCTGCAAGCATCTCTGCCTGGGTGAAAAATGGCAGCGCTCACCGTGCCTGGTGATGGTGATCAGGGTGGGTGCCTGGTGCGTAGTAGGTGTTCAGATGATGTAAGTTGTAGCCAGAGTCCACCATGTTACAGAGAACTTAATGAAACAGCTTGGCGTGTGTTCTTCTTTGGTTTCCAAATTGCTCTGGAGATGGGAGTTATTGTCCCATTTCTCAAAGAGACTGAGGCAGCCGGATGCAGTGGCAACGGCCTGTAGTCCCAGCTACCTAAGAGGCTGAGGCGGGGGAGGATTGCTTGAGCCTAGGAGGTCAAGGCTGTAGTGTGCTATCATTGCATCTGTGAAAAGCGACTGTACTTCAGCATGGGCAACATAGTGAGACCTTGTCTGTAAAAGAAGAGGAAAGAAACTGAGGCTAAGAGAAGGGAAGTGAGCTGCCCAAGAACGTACATAGTGAGCCCCTCCACCTCCTGTGTCCCCACACACCTGCCTCCATCCTGCCTCTAGTAATTGGTGTTTCAGCCCTCACACATAGGGACAGTCCTCCCAGACTTCCCCTCCAACCCCACCCCAATGATGGGTGGGGCAGAAATCTGCCAGCAATTCACTGGCAGAGTGATAGAGCGCCGGAACCTGAATTTGGGCTTTGTGACACAGACCTCCAGTCCAGGGCACTCTTAACTGCTGTCATCTTGCTAGTTCAGCCTTCCAGGGGAGACAGAAGCAAAAGGAGGCCCCTCCATTGTGGAGGGATTGAGTTAGACAAGATCAGGTGGCAGCAGAGGCTAATTGGCAGTGGTCAGTGTGTGTGGACAGGTTAATAGCCCGGTCAGTAGACTGGGGCCGTGGACAGATCTCTGTCACTCCCTCTCTGCTGGCCACTGACCCATGTAGTCATTGATATTAAATCCTGGGGGTACAGGATGGTATTGAGTGAAGAGAAGTAAACACAGGATTATGGTGGGGTGGTGAGCAGGGCCCAGTGCCAGGGGCATCTGGGAAGACTCCCTGGAGGAGGCATGATGCGGAGCAGAGTGATAATACACCAGGAGATGTAAACCCAGTGTTATGGCATGGCAGAGAGGGATTCCGTAGTCCTTGGCCTCTCCTGGCTGTGCTGCACACCTACTTGGTATGTGGGCCCACCTCAGCCTCAGTTTCCCCATAAATCTGTGTTGAGGGCTCTCTGGTCGGGGCTCTCAGCTGCAGCAGCTCTTGCCTGCCTTAGGCCATGCTATGAAAAGTTTTTCCCAGGAGGCCTTAAGGCTCAGGTTAAGGCTGTGGGTTAAGAGGTTCTCCAGGGCACAGGAAGGCTGGTTGTCAAGGAGCTAGGGAGAAACCAGGCCCTGCCCATGCCTGCCTTGCAGGCCTCTGTGGAATCCAGACCCCTGTGGTCTCAGTAGCCACCCGGCTGTGCCCACCCATCCTGCTGTCACTCCCACAGCCTAGAGGGGGAGGCAGAGGCTTAACAAACACGGCTCTGCAATCATGTTTGTGCACAACTTAACGATGCAGCTTTCAAACGGTGTGGTGTGGTGTGGTGTGACGTGACAGTATTAAAAGCCCTCATGATGCTTATGTCTGAAATAATGCAAATATCTGACCCCCAGTTCCTCCTCCCCCGCCCCAGGGACCTCCGAAATTGTGTGTTTATCTTGTCATCACATGGCAGCCACTTGAGCTGACAAATAGAAAGGCCTGCTGTCTTAGGAATACGTCATCAGCATAACATGCAGAGCCGTGGATTAGAGTGGAGGGGAGTGGAATGATGGTGGCCTGAGAGACGTCGGCCTGAGAGAGGCCCAGATGCCCCTGCTAGGAGGCTGGCTCCCTGGGGTCAGGATCTTTGTAATGTTGACTGCTCTGTATCCTGTGTCTAGCATGTAGTTGGGCCTTAGTGAGTATTAGCTGAATGAAGGAAGTGAGACACAGGGCCCAAAGGTGATCAACTCCATCCTGGTGGGGAAGGACAGAGTTGGGGCCATTCTTGAGCTCAAAAGAACATTTTGGGATGACTCAGTGAAAGCCCTTTCCGTCCCAGAAGGAATTGCTCACCAGCGGGGCACATGGCTTTTATTCTCTCTTTTTTGTTTTTTTGTTTTTTGTTTTTTGTGTTTGTTTTTTTGAGACATAGTTTCACTCTGTCGCCCAGGCTGGAGTGCAGTGGCGCCATCTCCAACCTCTGCCTCCCAGGTTCAAGCGATTCTCCTACCTCAGCCTCCCCAGTGGCTGGGATTACAGGCGCTCACCACCACGCCCGGCTAATTTTTATTCTCTACCAAGTTCTTAAAACAGGCAGGTCACAAGATGTCAGATGAGGGGAGAACTCCCAGGGGTGTTGCCCTGGGCCAGCGTGAAAGCATGAGTTCTGGCCCACCTCGGCCTTGATCTTATGACCCTGGGAAGTTCCTCTTCCTCATCTGGGGGCAGCAGGGCTGAGGACTCTTGCTCTCCGCACCTGTTTTCCCCTTTGTTCCCCTTCCTCATCTTTGCCTTTGGCTTAACTGAGTGGAGTGTTGTCGGCTATGGGAAGGGAGATAGGAGGCCCAGAGCATTTGGGGTCAGACCAGTGGCGCACTGAGAAATGTGGAATAGCAGGGAAAGCCATGATTATACCATGTGCTGGCTTCTGTGGTGTAAATACTCCCAATACAACCGATCTTGAGCTACCAATGTGAAGTCAGTCCCTGAAGGTAGGGTTGGGACTACCTTCCCTGAAGGCAGTAGCACACACCTTCTTACAGATTTCCACCATCACAGGTATGGTGGAACTTCAAGAGCAAAACGAGCAGAGGCTAGTGTGGTTCAATAACTAAGAAGTGATGAGTTTTGAGAACTTATTAACGTTTGTTTTAAACATTATCATTTAGGCCGGGCGCAGTGGCTCACGCCTGTAATCCCAGCACTTTGGGAGGCCAAGGCGGGCGGATCATTTGAGGTCAGGAGTTCGAGACCATCCTGGCCAACATGGTGAAACCCTGTCTCCACTAAATATACAAAAATTAGCCCGGTGTGGTGACACGCGCCTGTAATCCCAACTACTCGGGAGGCTGAGGCAAGAGAATGGCTTGAACCCAGGAGGTATAGGTTGCTGTGAGCTGAGATCGCTCCATTGCACTCCAGCCTGGGCAACAGAGCGAGACTCCATCTCTAAATAAATAAATACATATAAAAAGCATTATCATTTAGTTGTAAATTTGTAAGCTGACTTTTTTTTAGACAGGGTCTCGCTCTGTTACCCAGGCTGAAGTGCAGTGACATGATCACGGCTCACTTTAACCTCAAACTCTTGGGCTCAGGCTCTCTTCCTGCCTCAGCCTCCTGCGTAGCTGGGACTACAGGTGTATACCCCTGCACCCCACTATAATCCTGTGTCTACTTCTCTTCACTCAGTACCATTCTGTATCCCCAGGATTTAATATCAATGACTGTCCGGGTCAGCGGCCAGCAGAGAGGCAGTGACAGAGATCTGTCCACGGCCCCAGTCTACTGATTGGGCTATTAATCTGTCCACACACACTGACCACTGCCAAGTAGCCTCTGCTGCCACCTGATCTTGTCTGACTTGAACCCTCCACAGTGGAGGGGCCTCCTTTTGCTCCCGCCTCCCCTACAGGGCCAAATTCGCAAGATGACAGCAATGAAGAGTGCCCTGGACTGGAGGTCGGTGTTACAAAGGCCAATAATTTTTTTTATTATTTGTAGAGACGGGGTTTCATGGTGCAGGCTGGGCCTTTTATTTGTTTGTTTATTTTAAATGCAGCTGTGCCTGGAATAAGTTGACTTTTTTTTTTTTTTTTTTGAGTCGGCGCCTTGCTCTGTCGCCCGGACTGGAATGCTGCAGTGGTGCGATCTCAGCTCACTGCAGCCTCCGCCTCCCGGGCTTAAGTGATTCTCCTGCCCCAGCCTCCCGAATAGTTGGGATTACAGGCATGTGCCACCGCACCTGGCTGATTTTTGTGTTTTTAGTAGAGGCTGGGTTTTACCATGTTGGCCAGGCTGGTCTTAAACTCCTGACCTCAGATGATCCACCCCCCTCAGACTCCCAAAGTCCTGGGATTACAGGCGTGAGCCACGGCGCCCAGCCAACTTTTCTTTTTTCTTTTTTTTTTTTATTTTTTAAATATATATGTATATTTATTTAAGTAGGAGTGGGATCTCCCTATGTTACCCAGACTGGACTTGAACTCCTGGGCTCAAGCAGTCCTCCCACCTGTGCTTCCCAAAGTGCTGGGATTACAGGCATGGGCCCCTGTACCCAGCCATAAGTTGACTTTTAATAGTACCTTCCTTTGGCTGGGCGCAGTGGCTCACGCCTGTAATCCCAGCACTTTGGGAGGCGGAGGCGGGCAGATCACGAGGTCAGGAGATCGAGACCACGGTGAAACCCTGTCTCTACTAAAAATACAAAAAATTAGCTGGGCGTGGTGGTGGGTGCCTGTAGTCCCAGCTACTCAGGAAGCTGAGGCAGGAGAATGGCGTCAGCCCGGGAGGCAGAGCTTGCAGTGAGCCAAGATCGTGCCACTGCACTCCAGTCTGGGCGACAGAGCGAGACTCTGTCTCAAAAAAAAAAAATAGTACCTTCCTTTAACGCCCAGCTCATAAAATTCCTGCAAGGGAAACAATTTGTACTCCCAGGTCAGAGCTGGGTTGGACCCACGCAAATGCAAATCCTTTTGCTGCCACTTACGAAGCTGTACAACCCTCGGCAAGTTACTTAATGTCCCTGAGCCTTGGCATTCTCATCTGTAAAATGGGCTTCCATAAACACCCAGCACAGGCCAGGCGGTTTAGAATGTGCTTAGTAAATGGTGATTATCATCATTTGTTCAGGGCCATTAGCATGAAGGCAGAATGTTCTGGCACAAAGACATGTCTGTGGGACAGGCACAGTGGACTTTTTGTGTGAGGCAGGATGGTACTGGGCTGGGAGACAGGACTGTCCTTTAGTTCTATACAGTCCTCCTATTGTTGGACACTTGGGCGTGTTCCACAGTTTGACTTATCAGTTACTGTAGCCCCAGACATCTTCCAGCCTGCAGCTTTCTGTCTCCAGTTGGAATTCTCTTCTTGTGATCACTTTCCCGGGGGAGGCGGACTGGGTCAGAGGTGCGAACATTTCTGTGCCCCGCTGTGTTCCGAAGGGACTGTGCCAGTTTCTGACGCCAGCCGCGTGACTTCTTGCAGCAGTAACCACAACTGCTATTTGTTAAGTGCTGCTCCATTTACAAATCACTTGCCCCTGTGATGCCCAGCGCCCCTTTGGAGGTAGGCCTTGCTTGGATTCCGCTTTTGCAGGAGTCTGGAGAAACTCGGAAAGCGGAAAGGGGTGGTCGAGTGGTTTGCCCAAAGGCCCACAGCTGCCAGGGTGAAATCGCGAACCTCAGGCAGGACTGACCGAGCCAGGCCCTGTTTACCTGCAGTAGCTCCACCCGTCCTCACAATACCCACATGAGATAAGTGCCGTAGACATCCCCGTATTAGATATGGGAAAATCAAAGCACAAAGAGGATAGCTAGCCTGTCAAGAACGGTGGAGATGGAGTCCAGATGCCGGCATCTGGTTGCCCTCTCTACCCTTAGCCACTAAATAAGACTCGGAAGTGGGCTTTCTGGCTCGTGTCAGCAGCTGATTTGACCCCAGCACAGTCTGCCTCCCTGGACTTCCAGTTTCAGGGCCTGACACTGTCCCTGCCGCCCGCCTGCTGACTGCGTCTCCATCTCCCTACAGGCACCGGGAGCCTGGCCGCTGCGGTGGAGACGGCCTCGGGACGCCAGGCCCTGGTGGTGGGCAAGCCCAGCCCCTACATGTTCGAGTGCATCACAGAGAACTTCAGCATCGACCCCGCACGCACACTTATGGTGGGTGACCGCCTGGAGACCGACATCCTGTTCGGCCACCGCTGTGGCATGACCACCGTGCTCACACTCACAGGAGTCTCCCGCCTAGAAGAGGCCCAGGCCTACCTGGCGGCTGGCCAGCACGACTTCGTGCCCCATTACTATGTGGAGAGCGTTGCAGACTTGACAGAGGGCTTGGAGGACTGAGCCCACTGCACCTGCAGCCACAGGCCCGCCCCTCCCCACGCCCTGATCCTGTAGGTCACGAGCCGTGTTACACACCACCGGCTCCTTGGCCCAGTTCTGCACGGGGGTGGGGCTGGGACCTGGGGAAGGTTTGAGGGACCCTTGCAACCCCCTCCCAGCAGTGGCTGGGCACTCTTTGCTGCCCCAGAAGCTGGTCTCCTACAGATTCATCTTGGCCTGACCCAGCCAGGTGGACTTATTTCCTGCCCTGTCACCTCCCCTCCTTGAAATCTGGGCCCTGGTGCCCGCTGAAGATTTCCTCTAGCCCTGAGCACTTAGTCTTCTCCCCCTTCCCTGGGTCTTCTAGAGCTCTCTCTGCCCCTCAGGTCCTGGCCTTTGGGTCCTTGTCAACCAGAGGTCTAGGGAACCACAACCCTTATTGTCCTGAGTGCCGGCAAAGGCTAAGTGATAGTGACCTCATCGATGTTGGGTCCTGTGGGGTACCAGTTTAGGTTCCTAAGTAACAGTGACCCTTTTCGTCCTGGAGCCCGAGTGGACCAATCGGAAGCCTAAGTGACGATGACCCTCGCATGTCCTAGGTCCCTGGGTGGACCCGTCAGGACCCCAAGTGATAGTGACCCAGTGGTCTTTTAGATCCTCAGTAGAACAATCCAGAAGCCTAAGAGACAGTGGCCCCTTGATAATCTGGGTCTCACGGGACCAGCCAGGGGTCCAGGTTTCAGTCCGTAAATAACAGTGGTCCATGTCCTGAAGACACCCCTCCTCTACAAAGACTGGGATGCTCTGGGGCTTCTGTGGCCAAGCCCCACCCTTTCCTGGTCATGGTACCCGTACAGTGTTGATGGCCACAGCTCAAAGGGGGCTTTCATGTCTCCCTGTGCAGTCAGTGTTTGCAGTACCACCTCTCTCCCGTGCCCACTCTCAGCTATTTATTTAATTTATGTGTGCCAGTGACGGTGGGTGGGGGCTGGGCCTTCCCCGCCACCTCCACCCCTGTTGTGACCTGTCCTTCCGTACTTAATAAAGTGCGCGTGGGAGTGTTCACCTGTGTTCGAGTCCATGTTTGGGGAGGGAGGAGGACCCCCTGCTGGAGCCTGCTCTCCCTGGAGCTGGCCTGCCACATTGTTCCCTGCATGAAATGACCCATTCCCGTTCCTGAGTCTCTTCTGTGTGTAGCGATACTTTGAGTCAAGAGCACTTTATATGTCGCTGAGTCTTGGTGTACCGACTGACTTCAGTGCTTTGGAAAACCCAGCATGTTTGAATTACTCATTCCTTTACAGCAGGAAATGGGGGATCAGAAATACGATGTTAACTTACCAAGGGTGAACAGCTGGACGCTGTGCTCGCCTTATGCAGGATTTGAACATGCATTGGCTGACTGTAGGAAGCTGTAGCCCCCTCTCTGGAGACACTGAGAAGGGAGACAGGAGGGCGGAGGATGAGGTCTCAACCTCAGGGAGCTCAGGGGAGATGCTCTTTGAGACATCCCCACACCTGGAATGCTGCCAGTGACAGTCTACCCCGCTGGTCCCAAGCTCCTCCAGGCAGAGGCTGTGTGTCTCCCTCGTTGCTGCATCCCTGGGGCCTAATGCAGAGTAGGTGCCCAGCCATGAGCTAGCGGGGGTCCAGGGGCAGCCTGGAAAGGCCCAGAGAAGCTGAGAGCTGCGTGGGGAGGTGCGGTGGGTGGTGCACAAGCTCAGCTTTGGTCTCATTTGTGAAGTGACGGTGGGACTTCAGGGTCTGGGAAATCCTCTCCAGTATGATTCTTGAGAAGAGGGTGTGTTTGACAGAGCCCAGATGCTTCGTGAAGTAGGAGCAAATGTAGTGCAGTCGTGGAGACTTGTGTTTGTTTCAGAAACTCAGTTCAGCCAGGCACAGTGGCTCACACCTGTAATCCCAGTGCTTTGGGAGGCTGAGGCGGGTGAATCACAAGATCAGGAGTTCAAGACCAGCCTGGCCGAGATGGTGAAACCCTGTCTCTACTAAAAATAGAAAAATTAGTTGGCCATGCTGGCAGGCGCTTGTAATCCTAGGTAGTCGGGAGGCTGAGGCAGAGAATCGCTTGATCCCGGGATGTGGAGGTGGCAGTGAGCCAAGATCGCGCCACTGCACTCCAGCCTGGGCGACAGAGCGAGATTCCATCTCAAAAACCAAAACAAACAGGCCAGGCACAGTGGCTCAGGCCTGTAATCCCAACACTTTGGGAGCCCAAGGCAGGCGGATCATGAGTTCAGGAGTTCAAGACCAGCCTGGTCAACACGGTGAAATTCCATCTGTACTAAAAACAAAACTTAGTTGGGTATGGTGGCGGGAGCCTGTAATCCCAGCTACTCGGGAGGCTGAGGCAGGAGAACTGCTTGAACCTGGGAGGCAGAAGTTGCAGTAAGCCGAGATTGTGCCACTGCACTCCAGCCTGGGTGACAGAGTAAGACAACATCTCAGAAAAAAAAAAAAAAATTCAAAAATTAGCCAGGCGTGGTGGTGGTGGCTTGTGCCTGTAGTCCCAGCTACTCGGGAGGTAGGAGAATCACTTGAAGTTGCAGTGAACTGAGATCACGCAGCTGTACTCCAGGCTGGGCAGCAAAACAAGACTCCATCTCAAAAAAAAGCAAACAACAACAACAACAAAAAACTCAGTTCAACGTGGCTAAGGCATAGGGGGTTTTGGTCTGCTCCCTGAGGTGGTCTAGCACCCTCCAGGTGTATACTCAGTTCTGTCTCGCCATCTCCCCAGCCAACATCCTAGGACAGATTCTCATGGCCTGGCTTGGGTCATAGCCCATCTGGATGGGACACAGCTATTGGGCCATGTGACCCTCCCCGCCTTCCCCTTCACCCTCCACCAGTAAGGAAATGGTTGTCTCTACACAGTCTTGCCTCAGCCTCCCAAAGTGCTGGGATTACAGGCGTGAGCCACACCCCGCCTAAGCACTGAATTTGTTTTGTGTTTTGTTTTTGCATAGGTTCTCGCTCCCCCGTCACCCAGGCTAGAGTGCAGTGGCGCGATCTTGGCTCACTGCAACCTCCGCCTCCCAGGTTCAAGGATTTTCCTGCCTCAGCCTCCCGAGTAACTGGGATGACAGGCACCTGCCACCACACCCGGCTAATGCCACCAGGTCTGGCTAATTTTGGGTAGAGGTGGGGTTTCACCATGTTGGTTAGGCTGGTCTCAAATTCCTGACCTCAAGTGTTTGCCCACCTCGGCCTCCCAAAATGCTGGGATTATAGGCATGAGCCATCTTGCCCGGCCTCTAAACACTGAGTCTTGAGTTTAAAGCTTGAGTGTAAACCAATCTCAGTAATTTGATTCCTCAGGGTCAGCGATTGGCTACTCTTCTGACCAATGAAACAGGAAGAGAGATCTGGAATGTTTGCCTTGCCTCACCTTATTTTTTGTTTTGTTTTTTGAGACAGCGTCTCTGTCACCCAGGCTGGAGTGCAGTGGTGCAATCTTGGCTGACTGCAACCTCTGCCTCCTGGTTTCAAGCGATTCTCCTGTCTCAGCCTCCTGAGTAGTTGGGACTACAGGCACACACTGCCACGCCCGGCTAATTTTTTGGTATTTTAATAGAGACTGGGTTTCACTGTGTTGCCTAGGCTGGTCTCAAACTCCTGATCTCAGGCAATCCACCCGCCTCAGACTCCCAAAGTGCTGGGATTACAGTTGTGAGCCACCGCACCCAGCTGTTTGCCTTATTTTTAAAGGACATAGAGGAGGAAGTCACTTCTCCTGGCTTGGGGTGTGGTGCTGGGAGCCATTGCAGCCATTCTGTGATCAGGAGGTATGGCTGAGCATTTGACTCAGGTGACCCTGCTGCAGGTAGCAGAGCAGAAAGACCGCAAGAACTTACTGGGTTTGCTTTTCCCCAACTTGTAATTTAGAAAAGTTTCAAATTAATAGAAAAGGTGCAAGAATGACATGATGAATACCGCTACATCCTTCACCTAGATTTACCAGTTGTTAATATTTGCCTAGTTTGCTTAATTGTTCTTTATATGTGTTTACTTTTTGTTATTGTTTTAGAGATGGTCTCACTCTGTTGCTGAGTCTAGGCTGTACTGGCGCAGTCACAGCTCATTGCAGCCTCTAACTGCTGGGCTCATGTGATCCTCCTGCCTCAGCCTCCTGAGTAGCTAGGAGCACAGGCATATGCCACCACACCCAGCTAATTTTTAAAAAAAATTTTGCAGAAACGGGGTTTCCTTTTTGTTTTGTTTTGTTTTAGAGACAGGGTCTCACTATGTTGTCCAGGCTGGAATGCAGTGGCTATTCACAGGCAGGACCCCACTGCTGATCACTGGGGGAGTTTTAACCTGCTCTGTTTCTGACCTGGGCCAGTTCACTCCTCCTTAGGCAGCCTTGTGGTTGCCTCTTCCAGGAGGTCACCATATTGATGCCAGTCTTAGCGCACTACAGCCCACGATTCCTGGGCTCAAGCGATCTTCCTGCATCAGCCTTCCAAGACGCTGAGATTACAGGCATGAGCCACTGCGCCCAGCTTGTTTACATTTTTTTAACTGAACCATTTGAGAGTGTGTTACAGATGCTAACACAGTTCACTGAAAATTCTTCAGCTTGTATGGCCTAAGAGCAAGGACAGCCTACACAGCCACAATCCAAGATTACACGAGAACCCAGATATTTGATGATTTTGTTGAGCCACTGAATCTGTTATGGAAACTCCCAACTGCAGACTTCTTTTGGTTTTTTTGTTTTGTTTTGTTTTGTTTTGAGACGGAATCTCGCTCTTTCGCCCAGGCTGGAGTGCAGTGGCCAGATCTCGGCTCACTGCAAGCTCCACCTCCCAGGTTCACGCCATTCTCCTGCCTCAGCCTCCCGAGTAACTGGGACTACAGGCGCCCGCCACTATGCCCTGCTGATTTTTTGTATTTTTTATTAGAGACGGGGTTTCACCGTGTTAGCCAGGATGGTCTCGATCTCCTGACCTCGTGATCCGCCTGCCACGGCCTCCCAAAGTGCTGGAATTACAGGTGTGATCCACTGTGCCCGGCCTTTTTGTTTCGTTTTTAAGACAGGATCTTGCACTGTCGCCCAACCTGGAGTGCAGTGGTGTGATCACAGCTCACTGCAACCTATGCCTCCCAGGCTCAAGCAATCCGCCCACCTCAGCACCCAAGCAGCTGGGATTACAGGCACGCACCACGATGTCCAGCTAATTTTTGTATTTTTAGTAGAGATGGGGTTTCACCACATTGCCCAGACTGGTCTCGAACTCCTGAGCTCAAGGAATCAGCCCACCTCAGCCTCCCAAAATGTTGGGATTACAGGCATGAGCTACTGCGCCCAGCCTAGACTTCTTATGAAAAAGTTTTCCTTAATTTTAAAGTGATTCCCATTGACTTTTCTGTTACTTGCAGCCAAAAACCTTCCTGATACACAGACTTCAGGCACATCATTAGAAAACATTAAAAGGGCCGGACATGGTGGCTCACACCTATAATCCCAGCACTTTAGGAGGATGAGGTGGGCAGATCATGAGGTCAGGAGATCGAGACCATCCTGGCCAACACGGTGAAACCCCGTCTCTACTAAAAATACAAAAAATTAGCCAGGCATGGTGGTGGGCGCCTGTAGTCCCAGCTACTCAGGAGGCTGAGGCAGGAGAATCACTTGAACCCGGGAATCGGAGGTTGCAGTGAAGCCAGATCAGGCCCACTGCAACTCCAGCCTGGGCCACAGAGCGAGACTCTGTCTCAAAAAAAAAAAAAGAAAAAAGAAGAACATTAAAACCACTTATACCCCACATTAAATATATTTTTGAAGTGTGTTATACTTTATTTGAAGGATTATTTGGCAACCAGGACTAATTAGCAGACGGACTAAACTCTAGAAAGTCACTTGGACACTGCTTTTTTATTATATTTTTTTTTTTTTCTTTCGAGACAGCGCTCGCTTAGTCGCCCCAGAGGCGAGTGCAGTGGCGCGATCTCGGCTCACTGCAAGCTTCGCTCCGGCTTCACCCATTCTCCGCCTCAGCCCGAGTAGCTGGACTACAGGCGCCGCCACTCGCGGCAATT